TAATCACATTCCGAGGTCTTAACCCACAACCCTTTCTCTGTATGCCTTCATTGGACAATGGGTATAAGCCGGTGTGATAGCTAACTCGGTGCTACGGGACCAAGGATCATCCATGCGGAACCCGGCATCCCCTCTTATATAGCTCTTCACTCATCGGCATGCCGGTAGCATCACCTCAAGGCCTCGGGACCTCGGGATGCTAAACGAACGCGGCATATTTTACATAACTACTAACTATGCAACCTAGTTAGTATACTGAAGTATGCCAACGGGGGGCATCTACCAAACATCAACCAGGACACATACCATCTCGCACATATGTGGCATCTAAGATACCTTGCGTTAGGTAGTTTAGCTGTTTCTCCAAGATCGTAGGGAATAGGTGCAGAACATGACAAACAAGATGGTATCTACCACCCGAGAGCATCCAAATTTCGATGCTGGCGTAAAACCCGTACGGTGGTTTCTATCGGTGCGATAGGTCGCTAGCGAGCCCTTCACCGAGGATGATCTCGTGGGGTTTGCATGCCCTATAACCGTGTCTCTTATACCTGTCACCCTTAGTGCCAAATTTATAAGACATGATTATCTGCAGCATGGGTGTGATTTCTCGCTAATCCGTACACTGAGTCGTACCCGGCGCTCCGGGTTTTGCTTCTTGAACCAAGATCGCGAGACGATCTGAGCCTCGAACCAGGAACGCATAGGTATGTATGTTAGGTATGTATGTTAGGTATGTATGTTAGGTATGTACATACGTCAAAGACTTCGAACACGAGCCCCCCTCCCGCTCAGTCCCCAAGCCTCGCAGGCTAACAGCCCTACCTAGGCCCACCGCAATTTCGCTTTGCCATGTCCTCCGCAGCGCTAAGAGTTTCGTCGGTCTGGACTAATGTATGTATTGTATTGTATTGTATTGTATTGTATTGTATTGTATTGTATTGTATTGTATTGTATTGTATTGTACCTGCATACGCTTTTGCAAAGGTCGAGTCGTTTTCTCTTTCTTTTTCACCGACGTCGTGCGTTAGGGCCGCGGCAGTGCAAAGATGCTCTGTGCGCTAGACGATGGGTAGGACAGGCAGGTATGTATGTATGTATGTATGTAATTGTCATCGATATTCGAAAATACCTCTCTCTCCCTATGTAGAGATAGGTAGTGTAACTAACTAGTGTATACCTATCCATACCCATGTATTTGTATTTACATTTGTATGCGTACCTATATATGTCCATATGTGTAAACAGTCTTCCCAAGAGAGCGGGAAAGTAAACAAATACCTTAGGTACCTACCCATAACAGCAGTTTCATATTATAAGCCAGGGAAAATAGCGAATGCCCAAGCTTTCCATAACGTAATTTAGCAAAGTCAATGCCGCCCATTCGAATCTCACCAGCCCAGGACAAATCGCTACGCGGCCACGTTTCGCTTTTCCTCATCGTCGCTGTGTCATTGCGTCGAGTCAAATTTCCGAACGCTCCGTCGGTGCTAATCAGATTCTAGCCTAGCATACGATCCTTTCGGCGGGAATCCTTTTACCTACCTACCTACCTACATCATGTATGTACCTGACCTGACATATTACTGTGCCGTTGAAAAAGAAGAAAGGCACAGTTGCGCTTTGATTGGCTTCGCGTGGGATAGGTAGTTGGTTGCAATTTACTTACTACACTACACAGGTAGGTAAGTATATATCAGCTAGGACTTTTCTGCTACTGCGGGAGGAATCCCGCAATGCACTAGGTTAGGTTGCTGCTGCTGCCGTGCGACGCCAGAAAATCTGATAGATCGAAATGCGCTGCCGTGGTACCTTGCAGCGGCAGGAATCGAGTGCGTTCGTGAGGGCTGTTTTATGCGGGCGATGTCGTGCTTCGTAGGGCATTACTCACAGTGTACATATTGCCTATTACCTATTACCTATTACCTATTACTTATTGAACGCTGTACGAAATACATGCTTGTATGCAAAGAATATGGCGGGGTTAGGCTGTGAGGCTGGAGCTGATATATCTCATTTCGTTTCGTTACCGAGAGTTTGTTTCTGCTGGACCAACAGCACGCTTTTTAGACTAGGGTAGCTGAGGATATGTGGTTCTTGCATCGGTTTGGTCCCTTTCTTCCCTCTGGTATGTGACATCTCTATTTCTCTTGGCAATCGCCTTTCATAAAGTGATATCATCAGAAAGCGTGTCATATCCAGCTTAAATATCTAGGGAGGAACCCTAGAAAATCCAATAGATTATTAATGCTAGTATATCCAAATCTACTCGCATATAATCAGATTCCTTACTGCACCCGATGGCACAGAACTGCCTTGCTTTGGAATTCTATGAACTGTTATTATCATTGTTATTATATGAGAAGAGATAGAGAAGAGGGTAATGTCAAAAGATAGGGTAAAATGGGAAGTTGACACTGGTAGTTTGATATCATTCCTACAAATGCACTAGGGGAATGTACAAGAGAGAAAAAGAAGAAGGTAACGGAAACGGAAAAGTGATTCTAGTAGTGATGAAGAGCACCGAAAGTGTCATAGCTGTTACCACAGTTTGAGTGTTGTCGCAATAAAGGTTCTATTTACTACACATTAGGTACGCGGGTATAAGCAAACTAAGGATGATAATAACAAGACGAAATGAAAGAGTAGAGAAGGGGAATGACAAGTAATTTGGGCAGAAATGAATTCCCATCTTGATCACTTGACCGCCTATTTCATATGAGTGAGTTTCCAGCTTATCAAAGTGTATAACTTTCATCTCACATAACAAATATAAGTTAAGAAATAGAACCAATAACTGTTAAAGGGTTTTAATAATAGTTAAATAACTCATAAGTAACCTCGTCGTTTACTATTTTTACTACTTGACTAGCTAGGTACTTAGTTCATGAGACTGCTTGTTGTTGAATAATAAATGTCACATCGAGCAAGCAACCCCGAAGAACAGATATAAATGATAAGAAAAGAACTTCAGCTTAACATCCGATGGCTTAATAGTAAAGGAAAGACTGCGGAAGTAATCTTAATAATTATTACTTAAACTACTAAGCCACCAGTTAAAGTATGCGTGTTTACATTGTATTACGACTTATAACTTTCACTTTTCCATATGAGGTATATATTTACAACTTAACTTTAACTACCTTTATTGGTTACTTAATTATATCGGCTATACCAAATCACTTATTGATTCCTCGCCGTAACCTTTGCTTTGACAATTATTCGAACGTCTATTATAATATCTTTATAAGCATTAAGATTTAATAGTTAGACTTAGTTGTCTCTCCCCTTTTTCCTTTTCCTTTCTATTGTGAGTGGATGATATATCCATCGGCATACTAGCTTGCGTCTTTAAGAGCCCTTTGTGGTTAAACTCATATGACTATATAATTTCATAGATTGTGCGACGCTTAAAGTTGCTATATAATCTGAAAACTACCATTGAACCAATTCTCAAAGCACTTCCAAGTCATCAGATCACACCTAAGACGTGTTAGTTTGCTAGAATGTGTTTCAAAGTTGTTATGGCTACGCCATAAAAGTGGGTGTTAGATTATGGGGATAGTTAAGTAACATAATAAAAGGTTATTAAGCCTTACTGCTTACCGTCCGACAACAGGATAAAAGTACATATAAGACACTAAAGTGTCCGTTTAATGTATAGAAAGGCAGGTGTCAATGTATCTTTTAATATAATATATCCCTAGGTTATATACCAGCCAGTTACCTGTAACTTTATGGGTAGTATAACAAACCAAGGTAGTCTTTAACAGTGAGCTATTAAGTAATATACAAAAATATCCCTTATATAAGCTCTGGCTTATACGATAAAGCCTAAAGGCTCACCGGAGATACGTAAAACATAAAGTACGGATTAAGATATTTAAAGTCTAATACCTTAAGCGTTATGACTTGTTCATTCGTTGTTTCAAAATGATCACATTCTTCCAACAGTCGTCTCCCTCAATGCTAGTTGCACTCATGTATTAGCGTTAACTAGACTAACTACATGACTTTGGTAGCCAACACTTAGGCAAGTACCATAGTGGTTGAGTAATGTTTTAAGATAAAACTACATTTGCAATCTTCGGGGAATATGAACATTAATATAAAGCAGCTATTTCTATTTAAATAGTCATTTTATGACATGAGAGAAACGTATGAACAAACACTTGTTATAGTTAATAGTCTTTTATAAACATAATCTAAGATATAGTAAAATCGCCATTAAAACAACTTATGGGTTCTTATGTATCAATTGAAGCCTTTATTAAATACGCTTGAAAGGTGTGTTGTTGAAATATATTATATAATAGAAGCAAGTATATTAACCTCTTATCTATAACATAGCCCACCCAGACTCAACTGCGTACCGAATGTAATCAATTCGCCGGGTATGTTACATGCATATATAACAGCCGCATAAGCACAGCACTACCGATAACCCGGAAATGCAACTTATATTTATATGTCGTGGTTGCTGTTAATGGCATAGATAATGCGTACTGGCACGAGTTATGCACCTTTATCTTTCTGTCACTTCTCTAAAAAAAGAAAACCACCCCTTCTCCAGAAACAGAAATACTTACAAATATCTACTTCAATTCGTAAAGATAGCATTCCCATTTCTTCACCATGGCATTGAAATATCGGCCTTCCAGCAGCGATGTCGGGAAGCTGATTAGTGGATACGCGCTTAAAGGTATTGAATTGATATCGCATGGACCTTCCGGATTCTGCAATTGCTAATTCGAGCTTCTCCAGGAGCCGGGACGCTGGCGTTCGGTACGGACCCGGATCTGTTCGTTCGCGTTGTGGGGCAGGAACCAACGATAGGAACCAACGATAGGACGAGAACACATTATTACGTAAATAAGTATAGGCCGGGTATCGCTGACGTAATTCACCAACGACTCATTGTCCAATCATAGCACGTTATAGAGGACCCCGCAAAGCTTGATTTGCTGGGATTTGCTGGGATTTGGCCGCTGCGAACGATAAGAAAGCTTGATAATAACTGGAAGCTTTATTATGCCATCGGGTCCCCGGGTCCCTTCCTTTGAAACCCTTAACCTACTCTCTTGAGCTTCTCTTTTTATATTGTTGAGGGTAGATTAATTCCTGTAGAAGTGGAATAGGATAGTTACTAATTATAACTACCCCCTTTTTACTTATCTCTCCTGTGATCTGGGCTTAGTGAGAGCCCAGTCCGGATATAACTACCTAACCTAAGATAAAAAGAAAGATGGGTGTTCTTCGTCAAGGAGTTGCCTTGCGACCCCTCACTACTGTTTCGAGATCTATGTCCGCTGCGTCGATATCGAGACAATCTTTCTCTCGGACTCTAAGCCGTCAATTCTCCGTGTCTAGCACTAGGATGGCTTCGAGTTATCTTCCCGGCGAGCCAGAGCGCCCTGTCGTGAAGACGGAGATTCCTGGTCCGGCATCCAAAGAGTACATCACCAAATTGACTCAGGTCTTCGACACCCGGAGTTTGAACATGCTCGCCGACTACACCAAGAGCGTTGGTAACTACATTGTCGATCCGGATGGAAATGCTCTGCTCGACGTGTAAGTCTTCATAAAGGAATTGCTATCTTTCTCACTCGGTAGAAGCTAACCATTGGTTATCAAGCTACGCTCAAATTGCCTCGATACCTGTCGGGTACAACAACCCGGGTTTGAGAAAAGCCGCCGAGAGCCCGGAGATGGTCACTGCACTAATTAACCGACCGGCTCTGGGTAACTTCCCCTCGCATGACTGGGCGGACGTCTTGGAGACTGGTATTCTGAAGGTAGCACCCAAGGGACTTGACCAGGTCTTCACGGGTATGGCTGGATCGGATGCGAACGAAACTGCGTACAAAGCAGCTTTCATGTGGCGTCGTCAACGCGAGCGGGGTGGCCCTGCCGTTGAGTTCACCCAAGAGGAGCTGGAGTCGTCTATGCTGAACAAATCTCCCGGCGCATCTGAACTTTCTATCCTGTCCTTCAAGACTGCCTTCCACGGCCGTCTGTTCGGCACCCTCTCGACGACCAGGTCGAAGCCTATCCATAAGCTCGACATTCCCGCCTTCGACTGGCCCCACGCTACCTTCCCTCAACTCAAGTACCCTCTTGAGGAGCACGCTGAAGAAAACGCCAAGGCCGAAGCTGACTCCCTCGCCGAAGTCGAACATCTTATTAAGAACTACCACGTACCACCTGCCGCCGTAATCGTAGAGCCTATTCAATCCGAGGGTGGTGACAACCACGCCTCGCCGGCTTTCTTCCGAGGCCTACGTGCGCTAACCAAGAAGCACGGAATCCTACTAATCGTGGACGAGGTTCAGACAGGTGTCGGCGCCACCGGAAAATTCTGGGCTCACGAGCACTGGGACCTTCCCGATCCCCCAGACATGGTGACCTTCAGCAAGAAAGCCCAAACAGCCGGCTTCTACTACGGAGACCCGACCTTGCGCCCTAACAAGCCGTACCGGCAGTTCAACACGTGGATGGGCGACCCGGCGCGTGCGCTGCTCTTCCGCGCTATCATCGAGGAGATCCAGCAGCACGACCTGGTCGGCAACACGGCGCGCGTCGGCGACTACCTCTTCGGCAAGCTGGAAGGGCTAGCTAAGAAGTACCCGGGCCAGTTCGACAACCTACGCGGCAAGGGCCAGGGCACGTTCATCGCCTTCGACAACCCGGACCGCGACGGGTTCCTCACGAAGGCCAAGAAATTCGGCGTCAATATCGGCGGCAGTGGCGCTACTGCGGTCCGCCTGCGGCCGATGCTGATCTTTGAAAAGCACCATGCTGATATCCTGGTCGAGGCGCTGGAGAAGGTTGTTTCGAGCTGAGTGGGCGGGCGGGTTGTTTGCTTGTTAAACCGATGCCATGGGTTTACTTAGACGGTCTTTAAACTACACGATAATATGGCTGGCTGGGACATGGGATATGGAGTGCGCGCGTGATTCGGATGCGTATGAATTTACGAAGAAAATGCAGGAGAGGGGAAAGGAACTGAAATGGATGGATGGATCGATGGAGGCCGTCCTGTCTCCCGGGAAAATGTGGCTATATTGATCCGGGTACTACTATACCTACTTGCCTTAGTTACCTTACCTTACCTATCTTGCTTATATCTGCTTTGGTTTGGTGTGCCTACACATTAGGTAATTGACGGATATTCGAGACGAACGTTGTTATACGCGAGAGGATTACTCAAGTTTGCGTGGGTGATGAAATACGAAAGCGCTTTGAAATAAATCGGATACTAGAATACTGAATTCGGTTGTCAGCTCGACCGGCAATATGCTTTACTATCGAAACTCGGCCAGATATTATAAAGCACAACGTGTATTCGTAGGTCTGCAGCGAAGCAGAGACCTGCCGCATCAGATATAAACGCATAACAAAATCACTAGTCTCATCCATACATCGAAGGCTTGCTTGCACAAGAAATTGCGAACTGAGGCTTTCTCGCGAAGAAAACCCCTTGGTCCCTTTTATTGACAGGATGGATGATGGTATGGATCACCGGAGGTATATACTGGACCACGAAATCCGGCCTTCGCCCCCCCTTCTTTATTATGGCACAAAGACCTGGCCCGACTATCGCCCGTCGCCGTTACTCGTCGCCCCCAACTTGGCCATGCCGAATGAAGAACTCTGAGAAGTCCGCATATTAGTGCGATGCCCTCCCCACTTGTTATCCTAAGCAGCCACGACAAGATGTCTCCCCGAGGACCGAGCCTCATCCTTCCTTTGCTCTCCGGGGCTGTGCCCCTATTAGTCGACTGCGTGATATGCTGCCTCTCCGAAGTTAAAAACACTCCTTTATTTGCGCGTTGCTCTGTGACCTGACGATGGTGGATGGTTAAATGCAATCAAATACAGCTGGTCCTTTACCGAACGCCACCGATGAAACCTGAAACACCAAAACCGCGTACTTTTTACCGGGAAAATGCAATCATAAACACCTCTGTATAGCATAATAAATAAAAACTTGAAGGAAACATATGACGCCCTTCCTTAGAATCGAATCGAATTGGATTTGAATACCAGGGTGCGAGGTAATGAATATGAATGGTCGGTGATACATATCGTGCTTAGGACGATGGCTGAGTTTTATATAGGTAGGTATATTAAGGGGTGGGGGATTTCCTGTAGATAGCTACTCTGCCAGACACCCTGATCGATAGGGCCGACTAGAGGTTGACGACGGACGACCTAGACATGCTGGGTCATCAATGCAAGACGAGCATTTAGATGCAGTTGCAGGCGCATCAGTGGCTCATCACTTCATGCTTCCTGGCACTGTGCTGTATTGCAGCCCCGTCTTCGCCGGCTGAGTCTAACCCGCCGTTTGCGTTTTCGTGGGCTTGAGGAAGCCCTTCTGGAGTGACATGGCTATTGCCATTTACCAACTTATCGTGTTGCTCCCTTTCGAAAGCGAGCATATTAAACTCGTTTTCTCGCTCCAGTGCCGCTTCTTCTTCTCGAAGCTTCTGTCGTTCCGCCTCGGCAGCTACACGCTGTGCTTCCTCCTTCTCCTCTAACATGCCGGTGTCCTGTTCTCCAAACATTTTATCTGGCTCACTCATTACGTCCAACACAGCTTCACCGTCAAGTGGCGGAGGAGGCGGAGGGGGTGGGCTTGGAACATCGCTCTCATCCTCTTTAACTCGCTTCATCGAAGGTGTCTCGGAAGGGGTTAAGCTAGGTGAGTCGCACGTATCATCCTCGCGTTTTCGTTTACGATCGAGACTGCTGGGAGTCGAGCTTACTCCTTCATCATCCGTCATTACGATATCTTCATCTTTGGCTATCGGCGTCGCGGCAGAGTCGGCATCTTGACTTGCTTGCGAGTCATGGTGCTCATTAGCCCGCTCAGCCTTTTTCTGCTCGCGAGCTCTATACTTCTCGACTGCACGGTTGAAAAAATCTTTGACATATTCTTTGACCTTCCTCTGTTGTTTTTCAGAAATCGAGGTCGGATCATCCACACGGTTATTCTTATAATCCGATGCAACGAGCTTCTTATTGATATCTTTGCTAAACTTCTTCAGGTCATCCTTGGGAAGCTTCTTATGGAATCTGTCTACGACGGATTTCACGTGAGGAAAAAGCTGAGTATAGTTAGCAACCTGGTAACGCAATACTGTTGTGCAACACAATACTTACTGTATTCTCATAGATTTTCATCTGCTTCTCAATTGGTAGAGAACGCCACTTCTCCTTCTTGGGCTCCTGAGTTGGAGTACTGGTCTGTGGAGTTTGCGACGCTGACCGCCTGGGCACATTTTCCGGCTTGGTGACAGAATCGATGATGTCTTGCAACGTCTTCTGCTCCTGTGCCGCCTTAGATGGTCCCTTGGGCTGCGAGGGGCCTGACTCGGGTGGCGCAGTCGGCTTTTGCCATGTCGTAATACCAGTCCGAGTGTAGTAGTACAAGTTGCCACGCTTATCGGTGGCGGTAAACCAACCGGGGGGGAGGTTCTGAGCCTGAGGACGCCGAAAACGCTGGTTATTAAAAAAATTGGGATTTCGTTGAGGAACATTGCTCCGTGGACCCTTGGGAATGTTCTCAGGAAGGGTGAAAACAGTCTTGATAAGCGGCTCTTCGGGGCGATTTGCGCGACGTTCCTCGAAAGAGTTGACGGACTGTGCATTAGCTGTTGATTGAGCATTAGGGTCTAGCTTTTTTCGAGGAATCCGGTACGCAACCTCCAACTTGCTCCATTCGTCCAGTAATCGCGTAGCTTCTGCAGAAACATCTTCATGCTCCGAGTTTGTTAGCAGCTGAATAGTCGACTCGATCTTAGAGTCGGATATCTTATTTTTAGTTAGGCGAGGGAACTTGTAGAGGATATCAAGGATCTGAAGGACTACGTTGTCGTCGTCCATAAATGTGTTTAGCGCGGTCTTGAGAATCTGATATCCGTGCATCTGCACAACTCGATTGCGCACCCGGTCATCGTCAGAGCGTTGGATACGCTCGAGCAATTTGACTGCAATCCACTTCTCCTTGCACTGCATGAGCGTAGCCATGACCTTGGTGACATCCTTTTCATCCAGGCCGCGGGCTTGTACGCTATTAACGTACTCCTCATCGTCTTCTGTGATCTTCTTCTTGCGGGGCTTCTTCGCGACCGTAGTATCCCAGCCATCGGCATCATCAATCCCGAGAGCTTCGATGGTCGCGTCGGACAATTTCGTTGCCCGCTCGGTTTGTGTCTTGCCACCGATGAAACCAATACAGTTGGGTTCCCCGCAGTAGCAGGGTTGAGGGTCGGCTCCGTACCTGTCCACATTGTAGTTGAAAACGAGTTCTTCGCCGGGCTGGATCCTCCTAGAGGCAAATATGCCCATGCGAAGCTTGCTACCAACAACCCATTTATCTACATAGCAATTTGGATTGCACGAGTGATTGCAGAAGCGGCCGAGATTTCCCTTTTTTGTCGCGTCTACAAATTCGTTTTTAGTCAGTGACATGAAGTAAAAATGGCGAATGCCTTCCTTGTCATATTGAAGCATTCGCCTTCGGAAGGTCGGCTCGTTGATGACTTCTCCGATATACTCGAAAATAAAGTCGTTAGCTTCAAGAGATGCGTTTGCTCGGAGACCAAAACCTTTCTTGTCGGTTCGAATTACTGAGACGTCAGCATACTGCTTGCGCTGAAAGCGTTGGTTCTGGCACCCTTCGCCACAGTTGCAGTCACCATCGACGCATTCCATTTTGGTGGCTCGATTGATGCAGTCTGAATCGTCACCGCAGGCATGGTTCATGCCATCCCCTGAATAATCCCTGTTAGCGCTCTGTAGACATTACCAACGGGTTAAGATATCTAAATACGTACGCCATTCTTCGCTGCAGTCACAATCCAGCGCGTCGTGATCTGTCGACCCAAGAGACTTAGAACCGTATAGACAGTCTGGGATCAACTGGAAATGGCTACAGGACTCCGACGTAACATCAGGTAGGTCGTTGAAAAGCTGAGCAGGTGGAGCCGCCATTTTGCGAGATGCTTTGCGAGCAAGCTTGGGCGGGTACCCGTCAGGAGTAGATGCACTATCACTGCGATCTTTCAAATCGTCGGGGGATAAGCTCCCTGATTGGGAATCTTTGCTACCATTTGGCGACGAAGCAGTACTATCGCTCTCCTTCTTGACGATAATCTGTTCCGAGGCGGGCGCAGTGTTGGCGACGAGACTTTCTAAGCCATCCTTGATACGTTCCTCATCTTCCATGATGGCGAAAAAGCCAACCGAGGCTCTCCTGTTCTACTGTCACAATGCACCAGGCAGCGGATGAATAGAATTATGTTGAAAGACGGTGCAATTGGCTGGCCGGAGACGTGGTTGGAAGAGATAGATCGGATTTGATAGGCTGTCGAGGCTATCAATGTTACGCGACTCCAATGTCTCGTTTGCGAACATGTAGAGAAAGGCGAGAAGGTAGGAGGGAGAGAAGTAGATTAGGGCGAAAGATGAGAGCGGAAACTTAGGTGAGAGGGCGGAAGGTCGGTGCTATCTCGTGTACGGCGTCTGTGACATTGCAAGCGGATAATTCGCCAATTTACGTTGTTATCAAAAAGGCCATTAACATGCGCCGAACAGGTAGAAGCAACAAGCCTTAGCATGCAAGGTAGTTTAGGTAGTTTGTTAAAGTTGTTGTGAAGATGAAAATATCGTGACGGCGCTGTCATGGCCGAAAAAAAAAAGAGTTACTTGCAGGTTGCGTCTTTCCGCCAAATCCCAAATGAGAGGAGCTGGAAGTACTCAATACACCCACTCCAGCCTGCAAAGCGCTGCACTGTACGTGAAAGCGTGGAAAGCGTGGAAAGCGTGGCGCGCCAGCCTTTGTAAATTCGGGGGCAGAATTCAATTATCCGACGCCCACGGTTTACGGCCTCGTCCCACTATTTCGCACTAATCCCACTATGTAATCATTGATCCTTAGCGCTACCTATTTAACATGGTATTTCGTACGATAACTGCCCCGTACATACAATACATACATAGGTACCTAGGTACCTAGGTACCTACCCCGTACATGCCCTGTACCAGTTTGGAGATATGCAGTTATGTGGGTTGGCGCCGCAGCACGATGTAGAGTAAACTTAAGTTTAGGTACATACCTAGGTAGGTATGTATTGAATTATGTATCTACAAACCTTCCAAGAACCTTAACAATATTCTAGGTTAGGTTAAGGTAATCTCATTTCCTTTCTTCAAACCCTTTTATCTTTTACCTTAGTATATGAGATAATGCAGCTGGAGATAATGTACAATGCGTGATATGAGGTAAAGTTCCCAATGACAGCTATGTAAATGCTTACCACATGCAGCATTGCAAAATGCTCTTTGAAGACATATGTGGTAGTAAGATAAAGGGCGTTCCAATACACCCAAGACACCCAGGACTTCAGCAACTTTCTGCGCGCTAAAAAGAAGTAGAATGTGTTGTGCTGTTCTCGCCCCTTATTAGTTGTATACTCGGCATCCTATTCTAATGCTAACAACACCACCAATTGTCACCGCTGCCCCCACGTCTAAGAGCTGTGAGTAACAAAGGCCTGGGCACCTACGGGGATCTAGAGAGCGCAAGATGTGAATCATGAAACCACACCATTCTTGCATCCAGCAAGTCCGGTCTATTTAGATTCAAATCTTTAGAACCGGACCAATCGACATGGAACGTAGTACAAGCACTATCAAGGCCCGCGAAGCCGCGGTGATGGTTGCAACAAGGGGATCGAAGGGACAGCTGTCGTGTCCCTCGACCTTGACATACGTAATAGCGTTCAACACTTATATCATGGATCCGGGCAGGACGCTAGGAAAAATATCATCGTTCTTATCGATCTGTCTTGCATCGTGTCAAGATCACCGTCTGGGATCTTTACTACGTATGCGAACAATAACGGGTTATACCTGAGTGGGTGGGTCCCCTATGAGGAATTGCCAACTCATTATGCATAGAACAGAGCCTGAAGTTGAGGTAGGAAAAAGGCGGTATGGGTGTCGGAGCAGCGTACATATATATAAGGGCTGGCGTCCGGAGCTACTCAATCCCAGGTCGTAAAACGTGGAGCTCCGCAAAATGATGCATTTCAATTCTTCAGATCGAGAAATGTCTATGCTCAAGGGCATCTGGCATCTTTTATAGTCCAGGATGGATCAACCCAAACCCTATGCGGCTTCGCGACTGGCGACTGGCGGCTGGAGACTGGAGACTGGAGACTGGAGACTGGAGGCTCCGTCATATGTAACGAACTCTTGATCTGTGCTTGTCGCTAAACGTGTGAGTGCTCTAGGAGTACTTCCCCCAACGCTGCGATTGGAGAGATTTCAGTGACTCTCGGCCAGTCAAGCGACCCCCAACGAAGTTCGCTACCGAGAGCGGAGATGACTTCGAGAGCTACTACAAAAACGAACGAGCAGAGACAGGGAAGGACGACCAATGAGATTCAAATCCACCTAGGAAACGCTCTTAGTTGCACGGGAGCTAATGGGATTCTTAGTTCCGTGCTTATGGCTTATGCTATTTCGTTGTCTTTTCGATCACATTACATCTCTCGCCATTAATCTGTTGGTCTCTTTGCTATTTGCATTTTAGCGGTGTAGAACACTGCGCTGCTAGCAGAAGATCTCTAAATAATGGTGGTGTGGGAATTAGCCTCCATGAGGGAGGACGAGATTCAAAAATGCTTCTCGATTCTTACCAGCCCAATGCAAGAAGAGCCTAGTCAGGCGACCCGATTTGTCTAAGTGGTCAGCGGGATTGGCTTATAGCCAACGACATGGATGTATTTGCCCATCTGCAAGAAGGACAGAGCTGCATATCGACAGTCCAGTCAACTATCGAGCCAAAACCGTGATGGTTGCAGTGGTTATGCACGATACTTCCCTAATGGCATATAATTTCAGCATATGACCTGCTGGCTAGTAGCGGCCGCACTACACCAAATCTGCGCGTCTCGCACGCTCACATCTATCTGCTCGTACTCTTGCATGGGCTAAGGTGAACCAGGAAAGCCTCCGAAACCAGATCTGGTGGGGGATGGGACGGCCAGCTCTAGAGCCAGCAATTATATACCGATCACTTGTCTATCTCGATCTAACACCACAGTTCGCGACTCGTGCGAAGCGGGTGGATTTGACTGGAATTATATGCCGGTGTCAGACGCAGAGAGATAGAGAGGGACCTTAGAGAGGGACCTTAGAGAAGGGGAAAAAAAGAAAATCGGCACCAGCGCCTCATCGCTAAGGATTTTCCCCGGTTTGGTTTTATTCCTTGTTGAGTTTCTGCAAGAGGGCGCTCGCTTGATGGCGTGAAAAAGCTCGGGACTCTTTTTTTTTTTTTTTTTTTTTTTTTGACGAAGGCAGACTAGGGGAAATCCAAGGTCCATCTTAACAATTTATTATTGCCTTTTTGCCCTCAGATCCCGTACGGAGAGGTACCAAGGAGGCCCTGGTTAACAGAAGACCACCCTGTTCCACCGCGCTACCCTTGTAGACGCAACGCAACCTAGGAGATCGCCGCGCATTCTTAACGACCACGGCTCATACATACTCCCTCGTTTGTACAACTTAACGGTTAGTCAACTTATTCAACCGAGACACGCTCGCTTTACTCCTAGGTTCTACTCTTCGTCTAAGACGCGCGCTTGCGTCGTACTCTTTTTTTGCGCGCGTCTCTCTACCCTCTTGCGATACTCCCGCGCCCTCCCTTACCCTCCCTGGGATCCCAGCGCCATACACCACCCTCCCTGCTATCTGAAGTTTACCCAGCCCATCACTGCCACCTGATGGCCTAGAACTTTGGGCACAATAGGCGTCTATCGCAATTCATACACTACGCCGCCACAGCATCTGCCTTACGACCAGTTGCCTCCTAAGTGTGATATCTTGGACCATTTTTACTTACAAATGACTTACTCGCAGCTCTGCTGGCATATCCCTTGTCTTCTCTTCCCCTCCCTCCCCCATAAATCGTCTTTGCCCGTGTCAGACTTAGTCGCTCGCCATGGATACTACGTTTTCGGACGACGAGAAGGTAATATCGTCTGGCCACTCTGATGCTACTTAACTAATTTCCGCTTTCCGCATGTTATAGCGGTTCGTCTTAGGTGAAATAATTAAAGTCAGCACCATAGATGTCTCTACCCTTGTCGACTTTATCAAGGCTCATCAGGTCGAGCCGAACTGGATGTCGATGCAACTCCCCGGCGGTATGTATTTCAAGCCCGCCTCCACGAGACCCCCCCTAATGATAGCAGGTCGTAATATGAACCAGTGCTTCGGTGCAGTTGAGAACATGTTCCAGACTAAATATTCGCCACCGAACTTAACAAACTTCAAGCGCAAGTCCCTAAGCGATCTGGTCGAACACCCCGCGAAGAGACAAGCGATGATGGCTCCTATCGAGCCTTCTGTAGCTTCATCGCGCACCATTCAGCCGCGGCCCCCTCCAAATGGCTACCCGCCCGCCGTACCGGTCAGCATCAGTCCACCTATAACCTCGACGGGCAAAAAGCGCGGCCGTCCTTCCAAGGCCGACAAGGAAGCTCAGGCTCGTGCAGTCTATTCGCGGCTGACAGAGTACGCGCCGATCACACCCGCCCCTCTGGCCCCAATCGCAGTTCAGCCCCAACGCGAATACGCATCTTCTCCTGGATATGAGATCTCAAGTAATCCGAACGATCAGAGGGCGAGGAAGCGAGGCTTCGGTGCAGTCGACAGCCCTCAGCAAGCAAATCACCCCTTCCCATTAACATCACCAGCTTCGACCAAGGACACGCCCCGTGCTCTCCCGGAACCTATCGACCAAGTAGAGAGAGCTAACTTGTCGCCTCGGGATCGAGGGCCACTTGCGTTGGATTCACGATCACCACCGCTCCCTCCACCTATGCAACAACAAGACTCGTCACAAGGACTACCTCCCCTACAACCTCGAACTCTGCCCCTGCCCCCGCCATCTCCACGAACTTCACACACGTATGAATCGCATCGAGGCATTGATCCCATATTCCCGGATAGAGACAGGTCGAGAAATATCCCAGAACCACTAAAAGACGCCCATCCCCCGGTAACCACGGTATCAAATCAGAGTTAAAGAGTGTAGTATATTAGACGACTAATATGGTCATACGGTGTCACAATCTCTTTCCGGTGGTTTGGGTTTATAGAGGAAAGTTTCTGGTTGGGAGGCATATTTGCTCTTTTTTTTTTTTTTCAAAGCTTCAAGGGATCAACAAATTTCCCTGCATGTTCTAGGCACTTCGCGTCTTCGAGAAGGATCGGATACTGCTTCACAATATACCCATACGGCTTCTTGTTTATGTTCTACTGCTGGACGGCGGCTATCTACATTGTATTTTCTATCCTTCTCCACTTCTAGTGAGAGAGCAGGTTTTGTCGACACTAACCCGGCTCAATACTCCATTCTAACGATACCTGACCAGGTGGACAACTGGGATTTGGTTGGCCTTTTTTTATAGCATTTACTGGCGCAGTTCCGTTGCCGGAGGTACAGGATCAAGAATTCTACTCCTGGTGGTTGGCAAATGCCGTTTTATTCGTGTACGATTCTCCGGGGCGTTCTTGGTTACGTAGGGGGGTATGGTGGAGGGCAGTGATGATACATACGACATATACGTACGTATGGCTGAGTGTAGGTTTACGGGGAAATATAAATAAATAAAAAAGTAACGAAAACTACACTACCTAGGTATCAAGAAGAATATTGAAGATACGACTATTCGAGAAATGTGAATTGTAGTTATACGCATAGATATTCCCAGGACCTTCGTAGAACAGTAAACTCTAAGTATATCCAGTCTATGTATTCCTGCCAATACCAAGTAATTGTGCCAATTCTCCGCGGACCATTCCAAGCGCGCATTCATATAAAACATCGTATATCTTCGACGTTCATATATCTTACATGATCCAATGTAACTTTGAAGTCATCCACTATTAAGACATTGCGCTAACAGCTTTCTAGACAGCCCTGGCCTCGCATATCGCTACACGGGTAATGCTACACGGGCGATGAGGGTTGGTTTCACAAGTCCTATATAGCATGTAGTAGGGCGGAACAGGAAGCCAGCCAATAGGATAATATCAAACGTCAACCTGCAAGACATAACCCGGACGCCGTGATAGGTCAGAATCAGCAGCCGCTCGCATTGGATAAGAGCTACGGGGATTAATATACGTCTAGCGGAGCTTGGCTCTGGGATGTAGAGTAAATTTTTTTTTTTTGGCGCCGCTGGTTATTTGACAAGGGCTTTATAGTTATTGTTGTAGGATGGGATTATTAAGGAGCGCTTGGTGATATCGCTTAGTATTATGGATTTTGGAGGATACGAGATGGTTATTTGCCGTGACCATGGGCTTTCAGGGTCGCTTGTGTGTATGAAGATATATATATATATATATATATATAACTAATACGAAGTGTTATATGACGATGTTTAATTAGCCATGTCTGTTTAGGGTGGAGGGAGATGTATTGCATCATTCGTAGAATATGTCCTAGAATATGAGCTGGTAGGTATGGAACTTCAGGTTTAGACCAAAACAGGTAACTAGTTAGTTATTATAAGACATACTCTAAGTTGCACCAATTAGAATAAGCATCTGGATGGTATGCATAGAGCGTAGGTAAACCGTGTTGAATCCTTAATAATACTAATTATTCGATAAGAAATAGACTATATAAATAGTATATTGACTCTCAGTACCGGATTGAGAACTATCTTAAATTGCCATTGCGTAAGGACATAACCAAAGTCTCACTTATCGTTCAGATACTACTACCAAGCAGGAGATTCCTAGATGTTGATTACAATATCGCCAACATTGGTATCAAAGTGCCAATTAGACAATAGTTATTAGAATTATCACAAGTCTTTACGTAAATGTACGAGGGGACTACCTGGGGAAACTAGTAGTCATCTCTAAACTCAATACATCAGCAGTATAATAATTAGAATAGAGGCACCTGGAATATTATACAATACCATCTATAGATATCTTCCTTGGTGATTCCAAGAATATTTGGGCTAGTTAAGCTTCTAAACCGGCTACGATGCCGGGCTGCGAGAGGATGCTTAAATCTGAGACATTGGAGTAACATCTGAATAAATCATATCCTAAAACACATATAGTACCTGACCGGTGTTATCTTATACGGATTAAATGCTCAGGGCCTTATATCTAGAAGCCATACCGTTGTCTATAAATATCAAGGGAAATTCACAGGGATATTATATACATATATGTAATTTTCACATCAATCATCGTCCGAAGACTCATCATCCCGAGCCCGCGAGCGCTTCTTACTACTTCCCGGACGCGGTCGAGCATCGTCGTCTTTCCGAACGAATATATAGCTTCTCGCAGCCCTATCCTCGCCTTTCCAACCGCCGCCCGTTTCCCCGCTTTTACTCTTCACCACGCCGAGCGTCCTTGCGTGGTGATAACCCGGATATGCGCTTGCTTGGAACTTGAAGCTGCGCTCAACTTGGAGACCAGTGTGCCTAGCAAGGTCTCGAATGTTCCACAGCGTATACGGCTCGCCCTCGAATAGCGTGACGATGATTGAGCCCCCGGGTGCTAGGGACGGCATCGCGTGCTTGAAGAATTCCACCAGCAGCTCCTGGTTATACCGGACTTGTCGATTGACATCGGTGCTCTTCCCGCCAACATGCGGGAAGTTGAAGATAATCCGGTCCATGACTCCCGTGCCGTCCTTTCCTTTCTTGTCTGCGAAGGGCGCCATCTTGGTGGCGTCCACGCCGTAGAGCACCTTGCTATCTTCGGCCTCGATCTTGGCGATGTTCTCCGGCACGTGGGGGTACTTTTCTACCAGCTCCTCGAGGTTCTTCTCAAGGACCGTGGCGGTCACGTCGGCACAGTAGTGGTGCTCGACCAGGGAGGCGGCGAAGCTGAGGTCACCATCGCCGACTAATAGGATTTTGTCTTCGGGTGCGAAGGGTATCGTGGGCTTGTCGTATTGCGGCTGCGGTTGCTTCTGCTTCTGCTTCTGCTTTTGAGGGTTCGGTCTTGTTACTCCCTGCGGCTTTTGACCGCCAGCATTGGACCTCTGCGCCGGTTGAGCATTATGCGTGACTTTCCGCCGCTTCCCCATGTTCTCCTGCTGTAAGCTGCTAGTAGCGCATAGTGTCGCGTATTACGGACAACAGACGCGGACCTGCCGCAATGGTCGTATGCAACGTGCCGAGGCCGGGGATTAAACGGGCTTTGTCGTGTAATGGAATGGGGGACGCCGGGTGGAAGAGGTAGGGCAAGGTAAGGTGAGGTGAGGTTGAGGTTGAGGTTGAGGTGAGGTTGAGGTTGAGGTTGAGGTGAGGTGAGGTCGGTAGTGGTGTAGCTCCGAGGAAGGGAAGAAAAATTAGTGGCTCGCAGACCGCATCCCACTTTCTGCGGCAAGGTTGCGGGACGAAGCATGTAACTCGCTAGCCTTAATATAGTAATTCCGGGGATTTAAGGTGGATGGGGGTTATTTTTGGCCAATGAGACGTCATATTATTGGCATATCTAGGTACATAAGGTACGTCACTACGGCTACACGTACATATGTACCTGATTCTACCTAATTCAGGTAGCTGCAGATTTGGCCATTCCTCCGTCTTACACGAAGACGTATTATATGTTTACCTAGATAACAATACATTAGGTACCTAATGATGATAGTGCCTTACATCAGATACAATATATGACTATAATGGAAACCTAACTGATTAGACTACACAGGTACAATACTATGATGACTCAAATATTACACCCACGGTAAATGTATAGGTATCAATGTATAGGTACACTATTAATGTAGCTAAGGTGAGTATGCTGTGTGATGCCATAAAGCTGATAGTTTAGTAAACGACCCTGAGAGTATGGGTTTAAGTTAGCTGTGCGCTGTGTGTACCATGTACATAACTATATAGAAGATCAGCACGCCTGTCTTTAGATTAAAGACAATCAGCAGCATCATAGCGAACGTATCTGAGAGTACTCCGGTCCAAGCTGTTGACTTATAAACCCAGTATCTTACTTTACGGTTATACAGAGGCCGCCCTGACTTGTAGATACACAAGAACGTAAACCAGTTAACTAAAGCTTGTCAAACCTTGTACCACATTCCTCATTCGAAGAGGGTTATGGCAACTTATTGACTACGCGTATAAACCCTCGTCTAGTCTCTAGAGACCGTTACATAGGTCCTAATGTAGCTCAAAGGATTTCCAAGCCCAGTCACTATAAGCGTTTTCCCATAGATCAATCATATACACGTATGTTTCTGTACTGGCTGGCGGTGAAGAAGGCAGGGTACGGTTGGTGAATATAAGTGGCAGATAAAAACGAGTTGGCATTTTAGAAGTACTTAGGTACCTACAGATAACCGGCTAGCGATTCGCCGCATCGCTCTTATATTAACTTAAAGCCGCTGCGCTTCGAAATAAATCTATTTAAACATAATCCTGGGTAAATGCTATGAAGAATTAACATGCTCAACAAGTAAAAGACTGATGGAAATGGCTGGTTTTGTAAATTTGTAGGTACCTAAGTCCTCTGAGCCGGAAACGGAAGCGGGTCAGGGGTTTCTCCGGACCAATAAGAAATGATTTAGCTCGCCGCAGAGGGCCAAGCGCAATAGACAGCGCAGGGACTTGACTGCATCGGGAAGTCCAAGGGTGTCTTGCTGTTTAATTGTGCTGGGAGAAAATCTCATGGTGATATGAAAGTGAGCTTTTCGGATTTGTTCCTATTGCCACGACCTCATCACCTTGGCCCTTGGGAGAATAACTCGGATACCGGATGGGCTGGTTCAACAAATCCTATTCTCGATTCTTTAACTCTACTTCTTTTTTTTTCCTACCACCCGCAACTTAGTTAATTGTTTTGGTCAATGCTGCTAGAAGACCTAAACCTTTCTGCCTTCTTTTTCCTACCATCAACACGACACATTTCACTGACACGCAAACATATTACAACATTACTTTCTCAAGCCAAAAATTCATTCACCTGCAGCCTCTACCACTGTACATCAGAACACAGGAAACAGGGTTTTTCTCTTACCTTCACTCTCTTTTTATTCTTCTTTTCTATCTGCGAAGCAGCCTGCTTTTTTACTTCTACATTTCTACATTTCTACATTTCTACATTTCTACATTTCTGTGTAATTCAACCCCTAACGAATTTCACGCATCCTTCAACTCTTACACGTCTCACACCCTTCTAATCCACAATCCGTCTAATCCAACCGTCACCATACCCTTTCTTCAATTTCTACACTTTCTATCACAATGGGTAGTACTCCCAAAACCACCTCGTCTGTAGCGGCGAGCCCTGCAAAGGGTAAAGCTGCTGCCGTCGCCGCCGCCACCACTACCACCAAGAAACCTCCCGCAAATGGTGTTACCAAGCGACCCGGACGCAAGCCCGCCGCCAAGAAAGGCGCTGGTCGTGGTAAAGGACGAGGCCAGAAGAAAGTTTACAGTGATACACGCGTCCAAGCTGCTTATGAACGCCAGAGGGAACTCAGAGACCTCTACTCGCAAGTTGCTTTAGCTGTTAAGCCGGCTCTTGAGGAGATTGCCGATCAAACCCTCAAGAAGCTGACGGAATCCATGGATGGCCATAAGGGCGTGGCAGAGTATTACACCGTTCAAGAACAGCTAGACCAACAACTCCAGCATGTTATAGAGACTGCTGACCGAGAACGACGCACAAGAGACATGATCTCGCAGCGCTCTTACGAGCTTGATCGCACATGCACTCAGAAGAAATTTATGGTACGTACTATTACCTATTACCTTTCAATATGCACTTCCAACCCTCTATCTCGCTCCCTTATCAATCTTGTCTTACTTACAATCATATTAGGACTCATTCGAGTACCAAACCGAAGAACTTTACGACGGCGCTGAGAACCGCGCCAGCATTCTAGCAGAGCTCCACCGTGAAGGCCAAGCTACTGATGTAAGTAAATGTGTTATACTTTCTTCGCCCACATCTCTGTTCCAATCCTAACTGAATTAACAAGCCCACCCAGACGCTTGACCTGACTTATCATTACGTTGACCATATACCCTACGTCTCGTTTACTGGTCAATCGGATGATATCGTCACCTCAGGCAAAGGCCGTAAGGGGAAGGCCGTTGGTAAGCGGAAAGCAGACGACCAACTTGATGGGCAAGCCGATTCCAAGAAGCCTCGGCATACCGGTGGCCTGCTTGCCTCAGAGCAACAGCCCGATGGTGTACCAGAATCTAACGTCGCGACACCGACGCCACCTGATGAGCAGGAATTTGTTGTTTCCGGCAAAAACTTCCCGGACCTTCCCGCCGGCGCAAGCGATCCTGACGAGTATGGCGTTCGCAGCGTCAATAAACGGGCAAAGAGCCCACGCAATAGGTTTATTGTCCCGCCCTTATTTCAATTCGACGACAAGGAAATAGGATTCCGAGATTCCACCAACGACTCAACCCGGAAGGCCACCCGCGCGGTTAGAGGCATGTTCCTCGACACGCCCAACTCTAATACCTGGCATTGGGACCACACGGTCAAGGACTACGATGCCCGAGACTACAAGGGCGATACCCTAGACCCAGAGGTTGTAAAGAAGCATGGATTACATCCGAAATATGGCATGTTCCTCCCCAACTCTACTAATGAGTCGGAATATGGCCATGAGCGTGTCGATGGAACCCGACCTGTTGTTGTCGTACCCGACAAGAATACTACCATTCATGCATCCCGATCAACCCGTCCTATGAAGATGGACATGATGCTGAAGGAGGACAGAATCAAGTGTGCTGTAGCAGGAATGCTTCGGAGCTTTTGCCAAGAGGAAGACGTCGACCCCGAGGAAATTGTCACCGATGAAATGCGAGATCGCGAGCGCAGAGTTCGTGAGAGACTGACCATGTCCTCCGATGAAAGCTTTTCTTTGGAGGGAGCAACCCATGCTCAGTCAACAGAAACTGATGGCTCTGTCTACAGAGACAACATGTCTCTTCTTCTCCAGGCTGCCGAGATCGCAGACGCTGACAAGCCTACCCAACCGTCTCCTACTACACGGCCATCTCGCCCTTATGATGCGGTGAGAGACGTTTTTACGAGCGCGGAGCCGGCTCCTAGCCGCACAGAACGCTATTCAGATGGGAGTGCCAATGCACTTTCTGTCTTTGCGGACGCTGTCTTGGAGCTGTCCCAACAAAAACAGCTACAACAACAGCAGCAGCAGCATCAACAACAACACCAACACCAACAAGCGGACATTGCGCTCATGAGCGATTCTTCTATGATCGACCCTCGTCTTCTCGGTCCACCTACTCAGCCTCCACCCCTCCCCAATGCATTCTTGCAGACCGCGTTAAACCCTGCCTCGGCTTTCGCGCATATTGCACCAGCTCCTACCGCAATGATGGAAGTACCGCAGCAGCCTGCCCCCCCCAGGATCCCATTCTCGAACCAGAGCAGCGTGAAGGAGAGTCCGATTCTACCTCCCCTACGGCCTAACAGAGCAGATGGTCTGGGAAAGAGTTTGAACATAGCACCACCCCCTTTAACTCAATCTACTCACAGACAGCAAGAGTTCGACTCTTCTCGTGCGCTAGTTCACTCGAACTCGGGGACTTTCTTTGCACCTGCACCGTCACGACCTTTTCATCAGGGTCTTACTTTTCATCACGAGTCAACTTTGATGCCGATGTCTCTTCAGCAAGGCCCATCTATGTCCGGCTCCGGCATGTTGCTAAACCAGCCTCATTTACCTCATATGTCTGCTTATCCTCTTGAAATGTCTCCCCCTCTACAGAGCCAGCCGCATCTGGCCCCTCTATCGACACAGATGGAAGTTCCTGTGCCTTCGACATCACCGACTGGCCCACCTTTGACTTCGCCTTCGTCACCCGCTCATACACCCCGCAGTAGGGGATCTACATCATCGAACGGCAACAACGCTGGAAAGTACCGCAAGATTGCTGCCGCACCTATTCCCCATAACCGCCCTTGGCCTTCCAACGGTGGCACCGAGTTGAGACTCGCGCATTATGATCACAAGGAAGCGATCAAAGACTACCGAGCCAACGAGCCGCCCCCGCGAACCGGGCCTACAACTATTAGAGGATGGAACGTAAACAACGTTTCCAAGAGTCGGAACAAGAATGTGAAGAAGGAGGACTCCGAGGAGAAGGAATCTCCAAAGTAGGTCTCAACAGAAGACAACTACTCTAAGACTCGTGTTGACCATTGCCGTTTCACAGCATGATACAACCATACATCAGCAAATGGAACGCTTCCGAGCGAAACTAACGTTCCGAATTCTCGGTCCATAGCATATATACCGACCGAACTGGTTCACGAATCGATTCCTACAAATCTAGGAAATGAAAATCCGCATGATAGAACATCGGATACGAGAAAATACTTGAATACCTCTTTATTGATTAACTACTACTTCACGATATCATTTTACGACTACTACCGCCCCGTGGATACCAAACAACACTTTTACTTTTCTCGCGCACACACACACACATTCGGCGTTGAGCCTTAATTTTGCCATTACTACAAACTTGTATTTTCTCGTCATCATATCACGACACACTTGGTATCCCACAGCATGGCGCCGGGCAGGCAGGCTGCATTGGACAGGGGATTCGCATATCGGGGTCTTCCCTACGCTAGGCGCGCCCCGAAAAATTCATCATCTTCGTCATCATTGCATAAAAACTCGGAGTTTAGGGATAAGGGAAACTTTTTTTTTTTCATTTTTTTTTCAACGTCTTGTCTTTTTATTTATTATCCCCCCCCCAATTTCCTGCTCTCTTAGAGCAAACATCTTGTGTATCTGGCACAGGCCGCGATAGAGGAGAGGGTTTGCATTATAATCAGTTGGCCGTTGGTACGAATCCCCCTTGGAGGAGAAGGGAGGACAGCGGATGGAATATAGGGAGGTAGGCAGGCAGGGAAGGAGGAAGGGAGGGAGCGCCGAAAATAGAGCCACGGGTTGTGGCCGGTCGCGTCTTAGCGTAGCGAAGCGACCTTGTATAGAGGGATCCAATGAATGTTGTTTGCACATACACCTAAGACCTCTTGGTGTCTTCCTTGGTAGCGTGACTTGTCTGGTGATTCTCGTAGATGAATAACAATGATACTTGTCTGTGGACTTTTAAGGATGCCTGTTCTTTGCGTAGACCAAGCAATAGCAAGTAGTATACCAGCGAAGACTTGAGCGAAAACACACACACACACACACACACACACACACGCCCTTTTCTAACAACTAGACTATAATTATGCGGTATAAATCCCAGCCGGAATAAAGAGTAGTTTTCGCCTAGTTATTCTTTTCCATGCTCGGCATAGCGTCACTTTGCCAGCCTTTCTTTCATCTTGTACGTGTACAAGTCTATTTTCTTCGAAAGTACCTAGTCTTATAAGTTATAGCATCGCATATTAGCACATTTCCATATTAAGGTTTAGTAAAACCGTAGACTCGAGTATCCCTGAGTTGCTATAGGTGAGATGGGTATAACTATACCCAGGTATATAAGATACATATATACCCGAGTACTAACATTCACAGTATCTTGGCTTAGATATTTAGAAGACACCGACTTGTAGATTGATAAAGCATCTGGCTACCTATTATACAGCGCAGCACCACCTGCATTTCGTGTTTCTTTCTTTTCATTTTCCTCTCTCTTCCCCTCTTTCTCCCCTTCCTACTCTTTTGCTATCTCCTAACCTACCTAGCCAGGTAGTTTTCTTTTGCCACCAAACCGAAGAAAGAATCTCTAACGATAATCGAACGTATTCATCCCTCTTATTTTTCTTTGGAACTCTCGCAAAGGAAAAAAATCTTTTATCTGAAATCCGCCTGCTAATCCCTGGAAAGATGGAAATAACCGAACAGGAATATCACTGGAATCTGCTATGCCAACTCTGAAAAACGCCCGAGACTTGGCCCCCACCGTGTCCAAACGCAAAGAAACATCGTCTCTCCTGCATAAACTGCCCGCACGTACCACCTCGCCCATCACACACCAGAAACAGGCGCCATCATCATAGCGGCCTGGTCCATAGGTAGCATCTGCGAGGCATCAACCCCACCAAACGGCATCATTCCCGGTGCCGTCGATAGCTCTAACTGGGCCCTACCAAGCTTTCCCTCCGGGTGCAGCGGATACATCTCGGCCTCCATCTTATCACCATCGAATACGACCATATTCTGGATGGGCTGCTGGCGTTGGCCGCGAACGTTGATGACGTCCTGCGCGAGCTGACCACCAAGGATCGCGGTAACCGGCGCAATTTCGCTTCCCACGTTCTGCAGGAAGCTGCGTAGAAACTCGGAGCGTAGAGTCTCGGCGGGGAGAGACAGCAATTGGTGGTTGTGCGTGGCAGAACGGGTGAACGCTTCTAGGTCCTGCTTGTTGTGTTCGGGGAACCGGTCGTTGTGCGTTTGTTGGAAGGCCCAGAGCGCGCGTAGGCAGGAGAGAGCAGGGGAGACGGCTTTGAGACGGCGCTTGGACTTGAGGTACTCAGGAGGTAGGAGACTTGTTTCGGAAGCGAGGTCCCAGGTAGAGTATAGTTCGCGCTTTTGTACTTTCTCAATGGTCTTGCCGCCTTCCTTCTCACTTTCCACCTTAATAATGCTGCGAGTCCGGGTCTCTGGGCCCACGGTTGTTGGCACGTTGGGCTTGTCTCGCTGCAAAACGTAATCGTGCTCGATCAGGTCACAGAATATGTAACCATAAAAGCCGTAGGTACCAGCGGCATAGAACTGGCGGTTGTGAAGGCGAGTAGCGGTGTTAATGAAGGCGAAGACAGTGGGGCTAAGATCCGTGGCAATGACGATATCGAAGTTGCTGAAAAAAGACGCGCCTTTGGTCATTATGCTTCCAGAATCGGCAATGACCTTGACTCTAGGATTCAGCTTTTGAATCCTACCAACAGCTGCTTCAGCACGGCTTTGGCCAATATTCTCCTCGGTGAGAAAAAATTGTGCCCCCAGATCAGCTTCCGTGACTATTTGGTCATCAACAACGGTTAAGGAACCAATGCCAGCTAACACCAAGTTCTTGGCGATCTCATTCGCGAGAGCCTTCATAGTGATCAGAACAACGTTGGTGTTCTGTATCTTTTGTTGTGCCTCCATGCCCCATAACCGCAGTTGGCGGTCGTATAGGGCGATGTCATCTGATAGCCGTATTAGATGAGAACTTAAGCAATAAAGTGAAGTGCTATCTTACCTGCACTTAAAACATTTCCGTTGATTGGTTGAGGTATGATGGGGTTGTTGAAATTGGGTATAATATGTGATTGAGTTGGAGGCGGTATTATCATGCCCGGATTAGTGAAGTTGCCGTTGTTGAAGACTGTTTGCTGGAGGGTGGCGAAGCTATCATCTGTATTAGGAAACACCGGGATGCCATTTCCTGGAATCGAGTTCTCAGGTCGTAGAGATATGCCCGAGGTTGGTAACGGTAGTGGATCTCGTCCGGGTATCCCGCTATCCCGGACTGGCTGATTCGGCTCGGGAACAGGAGCTTCACCCGAGTTTGTCTGGCGATTCGGGAGAGCAGTATGGTCTTGAGTCTCCATTCTGTTTTGATGAGTCGTAAATGCCAGGTCGTAAAGAAGTATGAGAATTAATTACAGGATATGACAGGATGGGCTATCTTGATAAGAGCTAAATGCATAAAATGCTATTGACTAGTCAAGTCTGGCGGCTGAGCTGAACAGCTCAAAGTAGTATGGGTGAAGGTTATGCGTGAAGACGAGACCCAGAGCAGAAGCGCGGCGCGACTTGCTTGTTCTTGGATGCTGACTAACAAGTCTCCCTTTCCTCTTTCCTCTTTCCTCTTTCCTCTTTCCTCTTTCCTCTTTCCTATTTCCTATTTCGTAAATATTAGGGATATGTAGGAAGGTGTTCTGGGGCTTGACGATATGGTAGTCTAGCATTTAGTTTTGGTAGTTATTGAAAGCTAGATTCATTCGTTTGCTACATGTAATGATGTGATGAATATAATCATGCATGTAAATCACGTATGTATGGACCTTTATTAAGGCAAGATGCGACGATGAGCTAGCCTCGCCTTCTTTTAGGTCACCCTTTTAGGTAACACTACAGGTGTAACTTGCATTAGGCAAATAGGCAAATCAATGTGGATACGCTGGGATAATAGAATAAGTCTCGTTATTTGGAGAGCTAAAACTGAATTGGAGGATTGAAGGTCATAGCAACCCGTTATAAGCATAGTACATGGATGTATGAAGTCACGGCATGAGGTCACAGAAACAGCTACCTACATACCTAATTGAGGTAGGTTGTACAACATATTATAAATACCCAATATATAGGCGCACCACGCTCAATAATTTCTAACTCGTGGCTTAAGTCCATACAAAGAGGCTTACAAAAAAGGAGAAGGTACCTAACAGGCATATGGCATTAGGAATTGATCCTCTTAATCAATTATGATTGGTATCGCTGCCTGAAAGAAATTGGATGGCTACACAAAGAGTGTGACAAGGCCCGAATAAAGCTGAGGTACAAAACAAAGGTACCTTCCACTACCTAAGGATAAGATTTAAGTAATTGGGCGGAAGGGGGGTTGCGTGAGCATGACTAGTGCATGTTTAAGAGGTACCCTAATTATCGGGTAATCATTATGTAGCGTAGTTGTACATTTTATCAATTTTACCCATTAGATCGCTACCTAGGTTACATATGTACAACTTTATAAGTAAAAAACCCCGCCTAAAACCCAACCAACCGGTCTACCTGCTCCATCTCACCAATGTCCTTTCACACAACATCCCACGTCTGCATGTCCATTCCTTATTCCCAAGGGATTTCCCATTTCAACTTCCAACTACAACTCCATTGATTACTCCATTCATCTCCCTCCCTGTCCGCCAACCTGTCAAACCCATCAACTCGATCATCTTAACATATACCGGTCGAAACCCCTGATAATACCAATTCATCACTATATCACTACTTGACTGTTCTTGGCTTAATCAGGTACACATCAGCTGCGGTCTGATCCGCTGACGCACATCTTGACGAATACTTACAGGTCCCTAGTCTCTTAATGGTAAGTCTCAGCTTCGCCTGGTATATACTGCCATGTATTACCACGTTTCCTCCGGGGTCGGCTTCCACCTTTGGTCCGCACCGAAATATCAACTTGCGTCCCCGCCCAGATACGCTTTTGGGTGTCAGCATTATTGTACTAACTATGCCATTACCCAATAGTCGGACGATCCTTCCGGACAGCCTCCGCCAAATCCAGGACCTTTTCGCACTGCGGACGAGATAGTACGTTCCATACTCGATGGTGATGCTTCGCCTTCTGATATCAGCCCTTCTGGAGAGTTATATCGGGCTATAGAGAGGTATTACCCATATTCCCGACCGCCTAATCGCCCACGACCAGACCTCGTCCGGAACCATTTAACCCGTTTGGGTCAGCGCTCGTCATCGCGGAACAGTATGCCGTTCGAGCTCAGCTCGGAAGCGCAACGAAGATTCTCGAGAGAGCCGCAAAGTTCTGACGCATCACCCCGCTATAATTTACCCCCCTCTGCTCCTTACCTGCCGCCGCTGCGATCTCTAACAAGTACCCGACGACCTTCGGCAATGCCCTCATCCGGGCTATCGGGATCACGAGCACGCGCGGCGGACCGCATGTACGCGGCAAGGATGCGGACTGCGCAGAGGAATCGGAGCGAGACCAATGACGAAGCGGGCGAGTTCTGGGAGCGACTAGAACCGTTTGATAGAGGTTCGCGTGGTACCCGACGCTCCGCCACCGGCCAGATTGCTGATTCGCAATCTTCCTTAGACGAGGAACGTTTGCGGGAAGACACAAATTCTGAACTACGAATGCTTTTGGATTTTACTCATCCTCCCGGCCATCCTTATTCTGATCTTACATTTTCAACATTACCGCCGCCGCCACCGCCACAAGATCCAGCAGAAGATAATCGACGAGTCAAGAGGCGCAAATTAGACTCTGATCGTCTGTCTAGTAGTTTTCAAGGTTTTCGATATGGGAAATATGGACAAGTGGAACCGGGTCAGCTGACCATGGAGTTGGTGAGCTGCGATGGGGGCATCTTTTCTGACGACGGCCAGAGATATGCAGCTGAGAATATCCTCAAAAATGATCAAACCGTCTACTGCACCGAAGGGCCGAGATGCAATATCATACTAAGACATCAAGGCGCCACCGTCTTTACGCTTAAGGAGTTGATTATAAAGGCTCCTAGGTCTAATTTTACCTCCCCGTGAGCAACATTCTCCCTTGTCTATACTCTTACTAATTGATCTCATAGTGTGCAGGAAGGTATGGTCTTCGTTTCGATGACGTCTGACCATCTCCTAACACGGACGGCCCAGTACCAAATTCAATACTCGGCTTCTAGAAATTCGCCTAGGCGTGGGGAGCAGGATAGCCAACCCCTGACACCTATTTTGTCCGTTAGGCATAATGAAGATGGAAGCACCATGACGCACGCACAGATTAGAGCGAGGCGGCTATATAATATCGGCATGGACGATGAAGACAACAACGTACGAGTTGCTCAGATTCCCTCTGAATTTAATGTTGCACCCCCCCCCTTTAGGGTCACTACGGAATGTAGCGATGACGAGACAGATGATCCGACTCCGAGGGGAGATTGGCGGCCGCCCAATAGGATTGGGTCCTTGCCATTCGAGAGTAGCGAAACAAGCGATGATGAGGGCAACGCGAATGATTATTCGTTCAGCGAAGCATATCAAAGATTCCGACGGCATCGTAATCGACCGAGTACTGCACTGGAAGAGGCGGTGGAAGCTGCACAGGTGGCTACGCAGGAGGCTGTCCGTGCCGTGGGCGGGGAGATGATGGTTCCTTACGCGCGGTTCTTTATCGAGAGGAACAAAAGTAAGTGTACTATTAAGTTTGATCCTCCGGTTTCTGGACGGTTTATATTGTTGAAGATGTGGAGTCCGCATCGGGATCCGAGCGAAAATATCGACATACAGGCGGTCATCGCCAAAGGGTTTGCGGGACCGAGATATTTCCCATCAGTGGAGTTAAGGTGATGGTGACGAAGTTTAGAGGCGTTAATGGCGGCATTCCTGGAGGAATAGTCCATTATAGAAACAGGTTTAGAGATGAGGTAGCTTCATTGGCTCTCGCTGAAATGCGCGTGCATGTAATTGACTTCACAATCAATATGATGCTACTTGATATGATGCTACTTGTTCTTATAGGAATTTCATAATCGTATTGCCTATAAGTTTATACAAGGCACCTCATTGCGCTAATAGGCTTGCTTGAGACTTGTTACCCAATGCGAGATCAAATGCAGAATAAAGCAGAGGTCTACCAAGATTGGATTGAGTTGAGTTCAGTATGAATCATCGTGGCTAAGCATGCGCCATAAATGTATTTGGCACTTTAGGTTAGGTACAGTTGAGCGTGTGGGATAAGTACTTGGTACAACTACCCTTGTTTAGAGTCATCCAGATTGAGTCACATCCGGGAAACTTGTATAGGTAGGCTCTTAGTTCCAGAGCCTCTTGGTAAGTACGAAATAAGAGGTATTACTTGTATAGCCCCACATGAATATTTTAGATTAATACGCAGCATTATCCCATGCCTTAGTGCCTCTACTTACCTAACATACTCTTACATAGCAGAACAACCGATTTCTTCTTCTCTTGATATCTGCTCTACTTTACCTTTAAAAACTTGAATAGCCTCTCCGTTACAATTGCGGCCGATACAGTGTCTAGCAATACAACTTGTAGCGGATAAATCATGGCTGTGCGCGCACAATTCGAGAACTCCAACGAGTAAGCCCCGCCATTCTAGTTTTAGGGACCCCGCGAAAGCAAATTTGTGTGGTAGACAAAGTGCTAATGATGCAATTCTACAATCCAGGGTCGGCGTCTTCGCGACACTCACCAATTCTTATGCTCTGACCGCCGTCGGCGCGAGCGAAAACTTTTACAGCGTCTTCGAGGCTGAACTGCAAGATGTCATTCCCATCTGCCGAACTACAATCGCCGGCACGCGCATCATCGGCCGGTTAACAGCGGGGTAAGAAACAACTGCGTTTCCTAATATTGTATGCGTTTATATGCTGGTGTGAGACTAATTACCTGTTTCTTGTCCTTAGGAACCGTAAGGGCCTTCTCGTACCCACTTCTACTACCGATCAAGAACTGCAACATCTGCGCAATTCCTTACCCGACGAGATCAAGATCCAAAGAATAGAGGAGCGTTTATCCGCCTTGGGCAATGTTATCGTCTCAAACGATCACATAGCTCTGGTCCATCCGGATCTGGAGCGCGAGACGGAGGAGATTATTTCAGATGTTCTAGGTGTTGAGGTTTTCCGGCAGACGATTGCGGACAACGTGCTTGTCGGAAGTTATATGAGCTTGAGTAATCAGGGCGGATTAGTGCACCCCAAGACCAGTATCCAAGACCAGGACGAGCTGAGCAGTCTTCTGCAAGTACCGCTCGTTGCGGGCAGTGTGAACCGAGGCAGCAATGTGGTTGGCGCTGGTATGGTGGTCAACGACTGGTTGGCGGTGACGGGGTTGGATACGACGGCGACGGAGCTTAGTGTCATCGAGAGTGTCTTCAGACTAGGCGAGGGCGCCGCGCCGGGCAATGTCGGTGGCAAACTGAAGGACACCATGGTGGAGAGTTTTTACTGAAGAGCCAATTTTGTGTGGTTGGCCAGGACCTGGCTTCAAATTGGTATTGGGCTTCATGAAATCCCGAGCCTACCGTGATGAATGCGAGTTTCCTCAGATGGGAACAGCTTGCCGTCTTATTGCGGATGAATTTACCAGCCGCCCAACTAGTATAACGGACAGCTGAATATCAGCTTTATGGTTGTTATGCCGGGATAAGGGCATGGCAATTAGTTAATCAATGAAGCATCCCGACTACCTGTAACTAAGGAGTATTCCAAGACATACATAGTTGGGTGTTGATGTCGGTGGAACTTTGCATCGTGTGAAATGTAGGAAGCGAGCCGAAACGTTAAGACAGTATACGTCGAGGTGACCTAACCTAGTTAATAACTAAAACATTGATTCTTTTTAGTATTGGCTAGATACTTGTTGGTGAAACTGATGTTAACGTGCTATGATGTTTGCAAGGAACCTCGGGTTAGAGTAGCGAGGTTACTTAAAACAATAACAATAGCAAAACTTATGTGCTACAGTCGATTGTGTTCGTTGAAGTTTACGGGATGTACTACTAAAGTCAATGATCAATGGTCAATGGTCAATGGCTATTATTCTACTATGTATATGCTCTTTTAACTAATGGTGTCGTGTTCGATTCTTCAAAATTACTCGAGTCCACTCTTAAATCCACCCTACTGTAGTAAAGCATTCCATGGTCTTTGCACGAATAAATATTCTCGTATTTAAAATCATACATATCTAGTTATCCAAATGCCTAACCAAAACGGAATGATATGCGGCTAGATGTGCCACGTGCATCGACTGTGCGTCGACTTTAAGCATCGTAACATGGTATTGGGATCGTATTGGGATCGCAAGGAAATGTAGAAATCCATAAATATCTGATGGAGAGCCAGAAACTTGGGATCAGTGGGAAATTTGAATTGGTCCAAGACAGGACGCAGAGACATTGCGCAAGCTACGTACTACACTACGTATATTATCTCTTATGTAGACGGATGATGAACGGTACAGCGTTCCAGTTGAATGAATATCAGTGGTTATGTTCCTGTTCGAGGGTCTACATAGTAGAGCTGATGGCTCGGTGTTAGAAACAACTGAATACATACATACGTAAGTCCTATTATGTAAAGAGTTTTAGTTAATAATGTAAGTCTATTGGATATTTTACCTATCACAAGCTAGAGATTCGAGGATACATACATACCTAGGTATGTACAAGACCCACGCTCACATGCTGGTCGATGGCTGGTAATGGAGCTATGTACATAGTACATACTAGAAAAAGGTACCATGTAGTATCATCTTTTACAATGCTGTCTCCTCTCTTACATAGTTTTTTACTTTCAAAGTCTTGAATTAATAAGTGATCCAAAACTTACCCGTCCTACATAAGGCTGAAGAACTAATAAACTCGAAACGAGACCATAAGTATTAACTACATAACATTCTGCCGTTCTTTATCTATTCACCCATCTACTATTATGTACTAGACGATCTCCCGCGCGTTTCCCCCTGGTCCTCAAAGAAAAAGACTTGAAGTTCAAAGCTTGGCTTGGTGGATCCTCGGGAGGAAGTAGACGGAGGAAGTGTGCTTTAAACACTGTGCTTCTCTACAGTACAACATACCGTATTGAGCAAAGATGTCGAAATGATTGGCCCTGAGCCTGTCTAATCACCCCTTGCCAACCACCCGTCCAGCCGTCTTACACCTAAATCTGGAATCCCGGCGTACCGGACGACCCACCAACTACTACGTGCGACCTACCATATCGTTGCAGAAGTATGTGTCTCCAGTGGTTGTCTCCAGTATTGTTGTTTTGCTGATCATCAGGCTCGTGGCTGGTAGATAGACGACATATGTCATCTTTTACTTTTATTCTATTTTTTATTTTTCATTTTTACTTGCTTAACGGGTTCTGAGAAATAAAGACGAGAATAGGTTCTTAGACCACATCTTTATTTTTCTCAATAGAGCAAATTAGGAAAGTTTCGAACCAACTCGAATAGAGAGACCAAAACTCCCAAAAGTCGAATTTACACTACACTAGGTTACCGAGACCCCAGCACAAATACCAGGGTTCCGCTCCCTGAGCCAGAAAAGGGTCCTTTCCTCTTGGACGATTCCCTGTGTCGTCCCACACCCCGAAACAATATCCCATTATGCTAAGGAGTACCGCCGCTCCGAGACCACCCGTTTAAGAAACAAACATGGATACTGAGGCATACGGGGCAGTCGACGAACTGGGGAGAACAATAGGGTATCACGGACCAACCATGACCTTCGAACCTCTGGAGTACTCTTCCACCTCATTAAAACCACCTGGTCTTATTACACCGCTCGCCGATACAAGTAATACCTTGCTGTCGAATATACGGCACCAGCGGCAGCAGTCGGCTCCGAACGTTTATTATTCCAACGCGGATTCGCGGTCTCCATCCCCTAAATCAGGTCACGTCAGGCATCAGTCTCAAGGCATGCCACTTACCGGCGACGGGAGAGCCGGCCGGCGCTCGGATAACTCCTCAGGAAGATACGGCACCCGGCTGAGCGCTACACAGCCATCCTCATCCGCAGACGAGGCTACCTCTCCAAACACCACACCCAAATCCAAGTGCAGCATCGCAACATCCGACACCACGCCAAAGAGCGCAACACAACCCCGCCTCGGCTTCTTCGCGTCACTCACCACGCGGCTATCCAGCCCAGCGGCGCAGACACCCCAAGAAGTCGACGACGAAATAATCAACATGGACATCGAAGCAGCGCTGTACCCGTCCGCCATCGACCGCGACACCTTCTCGCCCGCGGCCTACAAGAACCTGCAGGCCAACGCGGCGGGGCTGCTGCACAAGATGCAGGACGCGTACCGGCAGCGCGCAGCGACGATCCGCGAGATGCGCGCCGAGCGCGAGGCCTACGGCGAGGAGACGGCGGAGACGGAGCTGCGCATCCGCAGCTTCAAGAGCCAGCTCGAGAGCATGGCGGCGAAAGCGGTCGAGCAGGAGAAAACCATGCAGCTGCTCGTTGCGGAGCTGCTAGCGGAGAAGGAGGCGCGGCGCGAGGCGGAGGACCGGGGGAGGGCGTTGGTCGAGTCGCCGCTGATCACGGAAGATCTCTGCGTGGACGACGCGGACAGGGAGGAGGGCGACGACGCGGACGAGACGCGGAAACGCTGGCGCAACAGCGACGGCACGGTGCGCTCGGATCTCAGCATCGACACGTCCGCGGGGACCAGCGTGACGGACGGCGAAAGCGTCGAGGCCGACAGCATATTCAGCCGCAGCCGGAGCCCGACGGCCACGGTCACAACGACCATGACGGAAACCGAGCTCCTCGCCATCCGGTCCCCCCACACGCCCAACCTGTCGCCGTCGCCCAAGCCCAAGCAGCAGTTGACCGCGTTCCAGAAGCTGGTCAAGGGGATCTCGGGAGGAGGGGCAGGGGGGGAGATGGTGGACGGGTGTGGGAATTGCCGGGGGCGGGACGCGAGCGTGGCGTGGGAGACGGTTAGTCTGCTGCGCGACGAGAATAAGAACTTGAAGCACCGCGTTGCGCAGCTCGAGGTTGTGGTCGAGGGCGCGTTGGATGTTGTTAATGGGATTGGGGCGTAGGGAGGTGGTGTGTGATGTGGTGTGGTGTGGTGTGGTGTGGTTGCTGTAGGGCTTTAGGGGAAGAGATTGAAATAGATGTCTGTCTCGGTTTGTAGGTGTGTGTATGTGTGTGCGTGTGTGCGTGTGTGCGTGTGTACGTTTGTATTATGGAAGTGGAAGATAGGTTAGGCTGGGGATACGGGTATGGGTGGCATTATCCGGCATGGCTATGTCGGTTGGGAGTTTGCATACTTGCATGCATTTGGGTACATCAGATACCTAAGCACATATCATGTTCGTGCTCATCAACATCAACATCAACATCAACATCGTCGAATTATAGTATGGTGGAAAGATAGATCGATTAGCATTTGCAGATATTAGGCATAACGCATCTAAGCCACTATGGCTTGGAGGAAACTTGGCTTTTCTACTTTCAATGTAAATACTTGGAAATTTAAATGAGATCTTCTCCATGTTGGATACCAGCATCGCATATATATCCAAAGTTCTCTTGTCAGGGGGTACATTGGCCCAGCTATATATAGTACTCTAGTCGCCCTATACATACACCATAGACATATTTAAGCGTGAAAAGATATAGGTCTTTTGGTAGATAGTCTCGACATGCCTACTAGACAATGACGAGCTCATCATCACCCAACAGCTAAACACGTTACGATATGTATATTTATGAAAAGGTCTCTTGATCGTGACCGGGTACATTCATTCAGAGAGCTACTCCCATCCGATCTTCGCCGCGGACGAGTCGAATGCGCATATATGTACAATGCCGTGTTTGAAACCTCTATAGCATTTAGTTCCATCTAGCTACCTATTGCATCCGCTCAATGATGGCCCTCCCCGTGCCCGTCCTCGTGGTGCTCGTCCTTGAGGAACAGCTTCTCGAAGCCGAGGTATGCGACGAAGGCTACGGTGGCGATTCCTAGGCCGGGGAAGGCGTTCTTGAAGCGGTTCCAGCGCGTGAATTGGCCCATGTATCGCCATGTTTCCCTGTGTGTACGAAGATCTATGTCAGCAGGCTATTCTGGGCATCTATCCTAGCTTGTCCTGGATTGTTGGTAGTTGGGCCGGAGGGAAAATAGGAAAGGGGGGGGACTGACGCTCGCTCCCAGGGATCGTATCTCGGCTGCCCGGCCGAGTGCGCAAACTTCCTGATGTCGAAGCCGGTGATGTTCGGCTTCTCGCCGTGCTGCGCTCGGAGTATCCTGTTTGCGGCAGGTTTAGTTAGCAATTGCTCGTCTTATTCACCTTTAAAATACCGAGGGTAGAGGGCTAACCTTGAGGGATACATTGTGAGTAAATGTGTGTGTGCTGGTGTAGGAGGAAGTCTTGCAAGAGCTCTCGAAGCAAGACGGCAAAAGCTCAATCACCACTCGTCGTTCAGTTGGTTCCTTGCATTACCTAAGGTAGGTACTTTGCGAGGTACCTTCTTAGCCTGAGCAGCCTAAGGGTATGCCGCTATCTGGTAATTGAATCCTTAGGGAAAGAACAGGGTTCCCCAAGAGGGGTAACTTCATATCGGTGCGCTTGGACCACATTTATCCCTTGTAATTCAATAACACCCCAAGTACCTGCCTACTCCGCGCCGATCTACCTAACGTTTGCACCTGCCGCTTTTCAGTGACGATTTACTTTAGGGTTTTTGGAAGGCTCAATCAAATCCACCACCTCATCCTATTCTCTTCTCTGCCAGTGAACTTTAAACTATCTACTTTAGGTACACTGGATATTCAACAACGAAGTCCTACTTAATTAATTTAGTAGTTGACACACTGACACGAACAGAACGCCACGCTTCTGTACGCGTCAATAGCTAGGTACCTTTGGCCAAGGCCATCTCCCGTGTCGTCAAAGCTCCCTAATGCCGACCGATTCTACTCCTCCCTTCATACCAACGACCAGAAAACGCAACTGAATACCTCCGCGACGCACAAACATTCACCCAATGGCTCCCCCCTCAAGATTCGGGGGTGGCCCTCCAAACATGCCGCCCTATCAACACCAGTTCCCCTCTCACCCGTCCCAAGGCCATGCGACCGGCCACCAACCCCCCGCGCTGGGAAACTCTGCTTACCTAGGCAACGCACAGATTGGCCCTTTTGCGACCAGTGGATTAGGACTCGGCGGCGGTATCAACGCTGCCGCCGGCTTTGGCGTCGGAGATCAGACAGGTTTTGCCAGTCACGCAGCCCGATCGGGCTTTCAGCACGCTGCGCAACTACAGCAGCAGCAGCAACAGCAGCAGCAGCAACACTCGCACCAAGCCCACGCTATGGGAGGTGACCGTCAGGCGCGATCTGGTGGCGCAGGTAGGCCTCGCGTACGCGACGTCTGGAAACACAATTTCAACGAGGAGATGACCATCCTAATGGATCTAGTCGACGACTACCCTTACGTGGCTATGGTTCGTTCTTGCTAAGAGTGTTCACGGTGAAAGCGTCGCACCTACTAACCTCTTAGAAATAGGACACCGAATTCCCCGGTATTGTGGGCCGCCCCATGGGTAACTTTCGAGGAAAGAGCGACTATCATTACCAATGCCTACGGGTTAACGTCGACTTACTTAAGGTGATCCAGATAGGACTCAGCTTATTCAACGAGAAGGGGGAAACACCGGCCGACCGCGCTAATGCGTCGAATGAGGTTGGCCCGAACGCCCGAGGCCGAGGAAACCAGGCGCAAATGCCTCTGGCGTGGCAGTTCAACTTCAACTTCTCTCTCAAGGAGGACATGTACAACCAAACCTCCATCGAGTCCCTGCAGCAAGCTGGCATTGACTTCAACCTACTGGAACGCGACGGAATCGACCCGCAGAAGTTTGCAGCCCTCTTCATACCCTCGGGCTTCGTTTGCTTCGACAACGTCAAATGGATCTCGTTCCACGGTGGTTATGACTTCGGTTATCTTACCAAGCTTCTCTCCAACGAAAAGCTAGCCAACGACGAGAGTGAGTTCGACAAGATCATGAAGAAGTGGTTCCCGACAACCTATGATGTTAAGCACCTCATGAAGTACGCTGTGAAGCTCCATAGTACCGGTCATCTCACCCCCTCAGATCCCGCTACTGCCGAGATCATGCAGAAGTTTGAGCAGAAGTCAGGCTTGGAGAGCATTGCGGATGCGCTGAAGATTAAGAGAGTTGGCGCCGCTCATCAAGCTGGTTCGGACAGTCTCCTGACAGGAAGAGTATTCTTCCAGCTACGCGAGAGGATCTACAACGGTGAGATTTCGGACGACCACATCGGCAAAGTCTGGGGTCTTGGATTCTCAGGAATGGAGATGCCTACGATGCCACAGAACCAGACTAACAATGCAGGCAATGCTTCGCCTGGTAACGGTAGCGGCAACGGTAACGGTAACAGTAACGGTAATGGTAATGTTAACGGTGGTCCTACCACACCTAGCACGGTGAGCGCTGGACTCGCTAGCACGCCGGCTGCGCAGGCGCACAACGCGAATGGAATAGGAATGGGACCTATGACCCCAGGTGGCGGAGGAGGTGTCTTTGGAGCCTTCAACTTTCCGGGGAATCCTAGATAGAATCCGAATTTCGGAAATTGCTTTGGTATGCCGATAGAATTAGATTACGCCTTACCCGCTCCTCTTGGTCTTTTACCTAATCCTAACCGAACTGTCTCTATTCCGCCCTTCTTACCGCAATTAATTCCGCATCCTTGGAGCTTCCCGGTACCGGTACCCGGGCCCTTTTTGCCCCCCGGATCACTGTCGGCGACCCAACAGCAGTCGGCGACTCAAACACAATCGGCGACTCAGACGCAATCGGCGATGGGACCATATCTACCTATTGGACCGATGATGCCGTTTGGACCGATGATGCATCTACCGAATCATCCATTCCCGATACCTTTTGCTATGCTACCACAGCCTCCTATGCCGCAACCTTTGTTGACCCAAGGACATGTGCGTGGACGTGGAGGTGTCGGTCATTCTCGACCGACCTCTCGATCTCGACCTCGACGTCTTCCCGCTAACGTGACTAACCAATCCCGAACTAGATCTGTCCGAGGGCGTTCAAGTTCGCGGTCGGCTCGTTTGGTTCCCCAGCAGCCATCAAATAGACCACCGACACCAGCTGCCTCTGAAGGGTCTCCCCCAAAGACTCCAACGATTGCGACTTCTCAAGCACCCATGATTCAAGAAGCACCTAAGACACCACCGGAACAACGTGATCCTTCTCCTAACCCCTGTCCAACATCAAGAGATCTGGAAGTGCTAGTGAAAGCTACCGGTTCACTTACTATTTGAGTGCCGAAGGCGTATGCACGGATTTTCACATTTCCACAAAAATGGTCTATAATCCAGTCAGTCTTTCAGTCAGTCTTTCGGATCGGAATGGTACTTGGTTGGGGCTTTGATAATTTACTATTCCCGGTATGACGACAAGCACTGTTACTAGGCGGAAATGGCAACCAAAATTTCATATATCCAAATTCACAGTGGATGGTGGCGTTAATGTTTTCATGACGATCATGGTACTATGCGGCTCTTTTTCTCCTTCGCGTTTGTTTTCCAGTTTTCACGTCTTGCCATCATGCAATCACGGACGGTTCTTTGTACCTTCTAATGACCATGTATCTGGTCAGCATTATCTCCTATTGGCAAGGATGATTTTCCCCTAGCCGAAGATATGAGGCAGAGGCAACTATCTGAGATAAGGAGCATGCGAATGGTTTTCTTTTCTTTCTATCGCAAGGCGTTTGATCTCTGCATACGAATGTACTACTAGTGGTTGGGGGGAGGCAAATCTTTAGGGGTTAGCTTGGCTGGTCGGATACGGAATCGTTGCTGCTAATACATATACTCGGTGAGGATCACACGTTAGTTGATTCCGCTGAGGTTACTCTGTATTTTTGAGGTCTTCTTACATTTTGCTGCGGGTGATTTGAGTTGCCATCTAAAAGTTGCTCTGCCGTCAGAGCTGTAGGATATTACGTAGGACTAGGACTTACTAAGGGCTCCTTTCCTTAGACTATTAGCAAAGGGTTGAGCTTTGGAATCCATTCATACATGGTATTGGACCCCTGTAAATCTACCCGAGGTAAGTCTCACATTTTTAAACCCGGTATAATGCTAACCTAGCCTACTACACCCACTGTATGTAGTTCGTAATTGATATTTCATCGTACATTTAGGAAACCCTCAAGTCGGGGCAAAATCTAACCTCGGCACAGTAAATAATACATGGCATACCACGTATATATAGATAGGTATATATACATCGACAATTTCATCAGTAATTCATATCCAAAAATAAAAAGTTGATCATGTAAAATAACTCCATTGCATGCATGCACTATGCCGTTTTCCCCAAATGACGATGCTGATGATAACGACGCCGACGGGTACCTGCCACCGGGCACCGTCTCGTAGACCATGAAAACCGCCTACGTAGGTACCTATATAGGTATGTATGTAGGTAAATTACGTAGAAGTAGAACCTGTACTACTAGGGCAAGCGGCCTAGGTAAAAGTAGGTAGGTAGGTGGTAACGGGGGTAAGAATACACGGTCCACCGCATCATTAACCATTATAACCATTCTATATCGTATCTTAGACGTTGTGCGTAAGACATTCCTTCAAGGTAGCCAGCCGGCAAACTAGTAAACCTGCCAATCACGTAATATACACCTTCTTCAAGCGGTCGTTCCCAAACACCTCCCCGGTGCGCAGATCCTTCACCTGGTCGTCGAGCAAGCCGGCCTTGCGGGCGTACTCGTCGAGGCGGGCTTTGCCGTAGGCGCGGCCGTTGGGCAGCAGGAGTAGATCGGGCTCGACGTGGCTCTTGCTATGGAAGGCGTAGGGCACGCCGCGGGCGAGCTCGTTCAGCTCGGTGCTGCAGATGGGGCAGACGCTGGAGGCTAGGGAGAGAGACGTCGAGTGGGAGGGGGGGCCGGCGGCGGAGGACGGGTGCGAGGAGTGGCAGGCTGGCGTCTTTAGGGCGGAGAGTCCGGAGCTTAGCGCGACGTGGAGGAGGGGGACGGACGGGAGCGAGAGCAGTGCGTTGTGCGTGGATGTGAACAGGTTGGCGAGCATTTCCCATCGGTCCGGCGAGTAGAGCTCCGCGTAAACGTTGGTTTCGGCGCTGGGACGCACGGCTAGCATGCCGCAGGCTTGCATGACTTCTTTCTTGTACGTGTGCTGGTAGGGGAGCAGGAACTTGCGCGCGTAGGAGAGGATGTCGGTGGGTTTGGTGGAGTGGTCTCGGACTAGCTCGATGTATTGCTGGAAGCGAAGCATGAATTCTAGGTTACTCTGGCATGGGGGTTAGCAGCTGAATAGATCGATCATAGTATCCAAGGAATGAGTGGCAATGGTTAGGATAGTATAGTATAGTATGGTATAGGTAACTCACATCCATCTTCCGGAGTTCCTTCTTCGTGTCTCCCGCTGTACACCAGGCCAACGCCTCGGTGACGCTCCGGTTCAGAATGCATTTCCGGATCCGGCTCATCTGCTCGAACGTATCGAGGTCCACGAGCGGCTCGATGCCCTTCTCCTGAGCGAGTGCCCTCGCGCTCTGGTTATAGCCGTGGCGCAGGAGGTAATCGACCAGAAGACGGTCGAGCCGGGTGCGGCTCCAGGCCTCGTACTTGACGTCGTCGACGCCGTACATGGCGTACAGCTCGTTGAGGTGGCGGATGCGGGCCTCCTCGTGGCGGTGTAGCCGCTGCTCCTCGTCGGCGAAGGCGGTTAGTTTCCGCTTCACGCCGCGCATCCGGGCGATCATCGTGTCGAGGTTCTTGAGCACGTCGGCCTGCGAGGCGCCGCCGTTCACGCATGCCGTTGCCGTCTCCTTCAGCGTGTTCTTGATGTACGTGCCATCTTTTTCGACTTCGAAGTGGGCGGACCGGAAGTTCTTCCGTAGAAGCTCGATAGGAAGGCGGAGGAGAGGCTGGTCCTATGAAGTGGAAGATTTATGTGTTAGTTCGCATGGGCCTACTTGCTCGATGGCCTGGTTGGCTGGTTGTTTGGTTGGGTTGACTCGGGGCGTAAAGACAGCATGAGCTATGATGTAACCCAATAAACGCCCGACGTACGTAGCATCATATCATCATCTTCGCCCTAACATTACGAGATAAAAAGAAGAGGTAGGGGTGTTTACTCACGAGGAGAAGGTGATTCTCGTGATCTAACTTGGTTGCTGCAATGTCGCCCATCTTTCCCAGACAAAATCTCGATTTTCGATGTAAGGGGTGGTGTGTATTGGAGTGGTTCTTCTTTTTTGGGTTTTGAGGGTCGAAGCTTCGGCGCAAGGTCGGCAGCACAGAGCGAACTTTAGACCGCGGTGGGACCCCACAACGGCCCGGCTTCCCCAGAGTTCAGAAAAGACATAGGTAACCCCTCCCAGCTTGGATTCTTATTGGTCGGCCAATAAGAGAGCGCTCTTTCCTTCCCTTCTGGTGCTCGGTGGTTATGTGACCCAAGCCTAGGTACCTAGGTACTGGCCTATTAATGCCTATTAATGCCTATTAATGCCGCTGCGGCGTTGTTATGAGTTGTTTATAGGTACATACGATGCTTACCTCCCTTTTTCGCCTTATGTATATGTATAGCCTCGATCGATCTGTCGATTACACCACCAATATTAGGTAAGAGTCAAATTACAGATACCTACATGTAGGTATATATTTTATATTTTCTTACCAACGCTACTTTAGCATCCTGGTAAATGTGTCCCTCGGTTTTTTAACTTTATCAGTTAGGTACCTAGCATGAAATTCCTACAGGTCATATCACAAGGACCAAGGTATATTTATATTTTGCCTTATAATTAGAATATACTTGTTTATGCTATTAACCTTGCATCGTGATGAACCATTGTCATAAGCGATCGACTCCTCGTGTAGTAATGAAGAGATACGATATTCTCCCCTTTTTGCCTGCTTATTTCATACGTACCTAATCGATCCTATAAATACGTCCTGGTGATATGGATAACACGCATCATCTAAGCGCGTATGCAAATTGTCCCCTGTTCCTGTTTATGCTAATATATTAATACCACATCGCTGTGGCGCCTATCCTCCTCCGTACTTCTGTGGAGGCGGGTACTCCCGAGTGGTCTCCTCGATGCTCGCAAATTGCCTAGTGCGACTTATATGCAGTCACACACATCCGCCGTTGGTCACAGGAACAAGTAGCAGTCGGCCGGGGGCTCACGGGACTCGGAAGCTAGCACCAAAATTATCATCGTAGGGGCTGGTAGAGCTGCATCTAACAGAAGGAGAAGGTAGGTCGAGCTTAGGGAGGTCACTTGACTTGTTGGTCTGAGACTTTATACCGTCTCTGCGCTATAGTCTATGTACACCTGCCAGGTACTTGGGAGAGATAGGAGATACGCAAAACGAAATCATTTGCCGAGCCCCCAAGGGCCAAAATCAGACTATCCATCTGCAGGTATTGGACATTAAGTCGCTAAGGGGTCTAATACCTACCTGCAATACCTAGGTAGGTATGTATTAAAGGTATTAACTATGTATATGTATATGTATATGTATATGTATATGTATATGTATAAACTTACCTAACAATAGTAATTCCTACGTTGTATCCAACTTTGTTAAGTTTCAAATATTATAACTAGAGCTAAGCTGTGTAAATTGTGTAGGTTAGTTGATTTTAAATACATATTTGCCCTCTAATAAGTGGGAAGCATTATCGCCAAAATTAACGAATCGGGTAGGTAAAAATAATATTTGAAAAGTACATACCAACCAACAAGCTGGCGCGAGTTTATGTTAGGTAGTTTAAGAACCTTGTCGAAAGAGCAAAGGGAAAAATTGGGAGGGGGAGAGGGACACACAAGCAGACAAGAGAGGGAAGCAACCGGGACGCAATCAAGTGGCCCGTGCGGGTCAAATGGTCTCATGCACCTTCAAGCACCTTCAATGCTCCTTCTTTCCCTCTTCAAATCTTTCCTTCCAATTATTAATTTCTACTGAAGCGAATGTTTTAACTTCTTCTATCGAACAAATCTATCTACACCACGCCGAATTTTTCAAGATCGAAAGCCCTTTCAATTTTGTTTTTGCCTCGTTGAGGTTAGCAGGTGTTGATTCGGCAGCTTTGCCTGGTCCAAGTTCATTGAATTGATATAATTCCCACTATTCGAATTGAAAGCACGTGAAGTTAAGTCACTTGACGCTGGAAGATCCAAGCACTTGCGCCAGTTCCCAGTTCCCAGCATAGCACTGCACGAGACCTGGCACATGATTTACGGTATGTCATTCATTTCCCATTACTTTTGTATCGCTGCCATCGTGATCCTCGCCATCATTCCCGAACGCGACGGACGATTTCTCTGCGCGCGCACCAATAGCCTCACCCTCGTTAATGCGAAAATTTTCGCGTCTACCGTCTCTTCGCAACCTGTTCTATCATATACTTGAATACGAAGAACCGTGTTGCTTACAGATACCGTCTATGAATGGCCCGAGGTCTATCTTTATCGCAGCTTTCGAGGTCACCTTGTTTATAGACAATCGAGCCGGTTGTTCTAAGGAGAAGCCTCCAAGTTTCAGAAGCCGTTATCTTCATCTGATCATCTGATCATATCTTATCATCCACCTATGTCAAACAGACCTCGTAGGCCTTCTACGGCGGTATTTTCTACCTATTTAGTCACTGATGTATCGAGACACACCTTGCGCCTCCCGTCACTGCCTCTATCGGGCAATTACATGAGAAACGTGACAAGGCTCATTAAACTATTCTATTATATTATATACAAAATGCACAAGTGATGGCAGCAATGCAATTTAGTTATTCATATTTCATATTTCATACTTATAGTACCACGCATATACTGACATCGGCAGACCTCTCGTGATAACCCCCAAAGTCTGTCACGCACCTTACGTGTACAGATCGCATAGGTGCTAGGGCCTACTGTAGGTGTCGTCAATCGACCACAACACTTCCTTCAGCTAAGTCACTATGGAGTCAAACGGTTACGCTCATACGGAGGCACTCCTCGAGCCTCTAACTCGTATCAATCGAGAGCATCTAGCTGCCATGGCGGACGCGGCTGTTGCGGACCAGAACGACTTTAACGCGTCGTCTCCGTCTAGTCCTAGTCAGAAGAGAAAGCGTGGCGCGCCAGACTCCTCTCCCGAATTGCGACGCGCCAAGCGTGTACCTCCGAACATTTCAAGCACCCCGGACGCAGCATATGTTGAGAGTGCTGTCGAAGCTGCGCAGGCAGCCGCACAAGCAGCAACTAATGCAGATTTCTCGGCTCTACAACAGGCTACAGCTGATCACCATGATACTTCGGACCACGCCAACGCATCCAGCACCGCTGCTGCCGCTTTGGGAACCTTATATCCTACCATCCATGTCCCTCAGTCTACAGAAGAGACCTTTGCCGCGCAGGCTGCAGCAGAGGCAGAACACCACCAAGACTCGTCGTTCAGCCATAACGACATGCTCCATGCGGATGGCCTTCCCGACACGTCTACTAACGGCCTCGCACAGTCGCAGAACGGCATCAGATCCACACAGCCGTCCTATACTACCTCCTCGTCTGCCTCTAAACCGGCTGTAGGTTCAGAAGAGTGGCACAAGTTGCGAAAGGACAACCACAAAGAGGGTGAGTCACATCTCTCGCGCGATACCAGAAGTACCATGCTAATTTCGGCTTCAGTTGAGCGCCGACGCCGCGAAACCATCAATGAGGGCATCAACGAACTTGCTAAGATTGTTCCTGGATGTGAGAAAAATAAGGGTTCAATCTTGCAACGCGCAGTCATGTTCATCACTCAGCTCAAGGAGAACGAGGCACAGAACCTAGAAAAGTGGACTCTAGAGAAGCTATTAACCGAGCAGGCGATCCAGGAGCTCAGTGCCTCAAACGACAAGCTCAAGCAGGAGTGTGAGAGAGCTTACCGAGAACTGGCCATATGGAAACAAGTAGCACAGAACGCAGGGCTTCAGCCTCCCCAGTCTAAGGATGAAGCTTCTTCATGATGTTGGTTTGGCAGTGGGCAGACTCGATAATCTTTATTACTTGGCGTTATCCCTTCTATACCCCCGACGACTTTTATTCCATCGCGGCATCAATACTTCTCCGATTGCTATGTCAGCAATCGTGTGCGAAGATACTGGTGCTCCGCGCAGGATTGGCTATAGCCAACACAAGTCAGCACTGTTCATGTTTAAGTCGCCTCATTTGCAGTGTCAAGTAGTGCTGGATATCGGGCTCAGGGATTCTGGTTGGCAACTGGTCGGAATGAGTCTTGAGGCATAGGCGTTGGTGGAAAACTTGTTTACTTCGCCCCTTGGTACGGATACCAAACTAGAGGGTTTCCTCAAGAATACAAGCCTTGGGCCAATTGTGAATTATATTTGTTTGTACAGGAATTCGAACACTGACGTCTTGGCAAGGATTACCATGCATCTACATGTTGCATTATGCATATGCGAGCTGCCGCGGGTTCTTGCAAGGCGAAAGAAGCTGGTCTCTTAAGACCTTGACGATAATAGGATTGGGGAACGCAGGAGCTAGATCAAGGGGACGGAATCTCGGGAAAGACGTCCTCTGGCCTATGAATAAGAGGGCCATACCGGATACCTACTTTTAATGCCTGTACATCCCATAAGTTTCTTGTTGCTCGGCTCGAGATTAATACTACTAGGCTATCTCAAATACTGTAGATGCATCCCCCCGAGTTGCCAAGAGACGTGCGGGTAGAAAATCTGGGATCGTGCATCCCGGTCAACCAAGGGAGACCCAGGCAGAATTCCAGGCAGAACAAACTAATCAAACGCACTTAGCAGACCACGGTGTGAGTGATTGGTGCCAGATGTACAAATATAATGCAAGACAGCTGCATACGCTGCATACACTGCAGACCGTATGTAAGGCGCAGATTTGCCATACCTACCTATGCTATGTATTACTTGGGGAATACATGCCCGACATGAGTAAGGCTTTGTAGATACATAGAAGCCTCGGATGTACACAGTTATAAGATATGTGCCATACTATATAACGTCAGCTTCGGGCTATTAGATAAAGTCCGGAAAAAGAGTTTGTATGCATCCGGCGCTGCACTGCTCGCAACTTGTAATACATGATATGTACATGTACGCGATAATTATCCCTTCTCATAAATCCTCTCGGATGTAAAATCTCGAATACGACTGTGTTTAACTATATGCATCTACAGTACCTAATGTATGTATTTAGCAGTCATGGGTATGTTCTATCGGCTGAAGCCTTAAATACCAGAATTGTTCGCCTCGCTCTTGCGGACGTAGCCAATAAAGCCGATATGCTACATTAACATTAGCATTATTAATAATAGCATTAGCATTACAATACAGTTAAGCGGTTTAGCTTAGCTCCGAGAGCCTCTCGGCTTTCCCCTTCCCTCGGCTTCTCCTTTTCCCATAGCAGCCCGTAGAATGTTTCTTAGGGTTTCCAATCGTCACTGCATGCAATATGTGCCTAAAAAGAGAGGTACTTGATGGAAAGGCTCTCGCGAGTAATGTTTAAATGTACCCGCTAAATGTTAAAGCTCATGTTAAAGCGCGGACCCAAAGGCTAGGTAGGTACCGACACAAGCATCGCTAATGGACAAAATTCAAATCTGGGCGGCTTAAGCCCCACCTACAGGAAGGCTTTTTCGTGCTATGTACTATGTAGAGTTTGCATTTTAGGTGGGCAGGTGGGCAGGTGGGCAGGTGGGCAGGTGGGATGTGTTCAGGTAAAGGTACCTATGTATGTAACTGCGGGCGCCGGACGGTGCTTTTTGCACAGTTTTCATTATTCATCCACCACCGCCGCGATTTCCTTCAGGGCCATTTCTTTGACTGCCCTCCTCTTTTTCTAGTCTCCCACTTCCATTTCTTCCACACTTCCCAACAAAACTTCCCTCTTTTTTCCTTTTTAATCCTTCCAACTACAACCACCACCGCCCATCACAACAACCAAGCAACAAAACTCGCGCCAGACCACGGCTGTGTTTTCAGCACTGCTCATTAGGTACTTTTACAACAGGATTTAAATCTGCGGCAATCGCTGCCATCTCCTGTTTTGCACTTAGGCATCTTACGCCAGTTCAAATAAAAACCACCTACTCTATTCCTATTAACCACCTACGCTTTTGCACATCTACGCTCCAGGCGCACCGATACAAGAGGCCTTGTGAACAACCTTTCGGCATTCGAGGTCTGCTTCTGCTTGTTATCTCAATACATCGACCAAATACACCCTACACATAAAAGGGTAACAGGATACACTGTTGTTTATGTATCAGCACGACAAGCCCGCTGTGTTTAGACACCTTCCCCCTCTTACGCTGCAGTCGTTTCGCATACCGCGAAAACCTTGTAGCCCTAATATCAGCTCCGTTGGTTGAAAACGAATCGACTACGAATCGCCCGAGTTAATGCCTTCCAACGCTGGCAACTATAATCCAGTCTTCCCTATGTCCACTAGGAACAGTCCTCTCTACTGAGATTCTGGCTCACTCAATCCCCTCCTGCTTCACTCGTCGTCGTCACCTACGAATGACTATCTAGTCCCCTTCCTCCCTATATTCAAGGAATTCGATCCTCCCGACCGATAAAATTTACTCCCGTGTCTCTACTTCGACAGCCTATCTAACACAATACCGCAAAAATGGCGCTCGTCAACGTTCGTCGTGATGTCACCGATGCCTTCTATCGCTACAAGATGGAAAGAATTCAGACTAAGATTGAAGGCAAAGGCAATGGTATCAAGACTGTCGTCGTCAATCTGAGCAGCGTTGCTCAGTCTCTTGCCCGCCCTGGGTCATATGTCATCAAGTACTTCGGATTTGAGCTTGGCGCTCAGACCAATATTGACCCTCCGGATGACCGCTGGATCATCAACGGTGCTCACGAGGCTTCTAAGCTTCAGGACCATCTTGACGGCTTTATCAACAAGTTTGTCCTCTGCAAGAAGTGCAAGAACCCCGAGACAGACGTTGTCATCAAAGATGGCCACATCGTACTTGACTGCAAGGCCTGTGGCCAACGCACCGACGTTGATCTTCGTCTAAAACTTAGTGGCTTCATTCTGAAGAACCAGCCTAGGAAAGGCGGCAAGAAAGACAAAGCTGAACGCAAGGCCGCTCGTAAGGCCAAGCAGCAAGCTCTGCAGAACGGCGGCAAGGAGAACGGCCAGGGAAGCGGCGGTGAGAATTCCGAGAACGGTTCCAACGGGAGCGGTGACAAGAATGAAGACGAGGACGATGCTGGTAGCGACGATGAGTTCACTCGCAAGATCAATGCTGACGCCCAAGTTATTGACGCCCCTGCCGTCGTCAGAGATGACGACTGGGCCGTCGATATGTCCGAGAAGGCCGTCAAGGCCCGTCAGAGCCAGCTCCCCAGCGAGTTCCGTCAGAAACTCGTTCTTGGTGGTGCCGAGGATGATGACGATGAGGGAGAGAGCGGTGGTCACACCGTCTACGACACCCTGGGTGACTGGATCCAGGAGGAAGCTGCCAAGGCTGGTTGTATTAACAAGGTTGATGATATTCAAATTTATGTGAAGGCCAAGGAACTTGGAATCGAGACCAAGCACAAGACTGTCTTGGTTTTGGTCCAGACTCTGTTTGATGAGAACATCCTCACTCAGATTCCCAAGCGCGCTGCAATGCTCAAGCAGGTATGTCTTACAAGAACGCTATACTAGTCATGTGAATCATATACTAACTTTTCTTAGATTATAACGTCGGAGCGTCATGAGAAGGCCTTGCTGGGCGGTCTCGAACGTTTCCTTGCCGCTCAGGGCAAGGAGCACCCCGAGCTGCTGACCAGTGATAAGATCGTCAAGATCCTTCACCAATTCTACGACAAGGACCTCCTCGTCAGTGAGGACATACTCAAGAAGTGGGGATCCAAGGCGAGCAAGAAATACGTAGATCTTTCTACTTCCAAGAAGATCCGCCGCGCTGCCGAGCCCTTCATCAAGTGGCTAGACGAGGCTGAGGAAGACTCCGACGAGGAGTAGGTAGTGGACATAAATTGCACGTGTTAGCTGTGATTCGGTGGATACCATTGGTAGATTGTCGATTTGATTTCCATGCTTGATTCTTCTCTGCGATGTGCTTCCGAGGTTCTCCTTTCGTCATTGGCTTCAAAAAAAAAGTTTTGCGCTGGTGAAATAATTCTCTAGGTTTCTCTGCGTAGAGAAAAAACTACAGTGGTTTCGACCAACAAAACAGATAGTATATCTTTCTACTCTGCTTATACGCAAAGATAAGTTGTTTTTTTAGTCTTGCTGAATTGAATTAATAACAACTATTCCACTCTGAATTTTATTTTTGCTGTGTTTATTGTAGGCATCTTGTGAGATGTGAATTCGACTAACCTAGGGCTTGGTGTAACATCAGGGGAAGGCTTCATTGGTACGAAACATGTTGCGTTCCGATACGTCGAGATATTTTTATATCGGACGGGTACGTAATATCGGCATACCTACCTATCCCAAGCACAATAATATATTTCAAGTACAACAACATCGTTTTATCAGGTATCTACAAGGACGGGCCTATGATTATTTGTAAAGTGTCTAGGTTAAGTTAATTTAGTATTTCAGGGGGATAATAAGTCTCGTTACGACAGGCAGGGTGAGCTATGTATACCAGGAAGACAACCCGTATTTCTATACTTTAGCCTTATGTTCAGGTATACGCGCGTGTACTCATGCGTGAAGGGCCTAAATTTATTGTATTTCTCTACTTGTGCCCATAACCAGCTGCTACGTAGCTAGCTAGCTAGCTTTTCCTTAATTCCTAGTTCTTGATTCCCCTATCCCCTGATTCCATATAACGGCCTCGATATCTCCCTCCCCTAGCCGACCAAAACGCCTGTCCGAGTATGTAATACCAAACAGCAAGGAGAAATATATAATACAAGCGAATTGATAGCAGCTCTATCCATAAACGAGAATTGTGTCAGACCATGAGCTTCCCCGGGATTTCGCCTAGGAAACTGATTCGGTGTAAATAGGGATGAAGGATGATCATGGAATGACTATTTCCACAGTTTGAAAGAAGAGCGCGCGTAATCGTATAAGCTCTACCATTCGACGTTCTGCTGCTCCTTGCCATCCTTGTTCTTATCGTCGTCGTCGAAGGCGCCGCCGGAGCTCTGAGCCACGTCCGGGTCTCCCCAGCCCGTGTTGGTGCCCCAGCCGCCGTTACCGTTACCGTTACCGTTACCACTCCCGGAAGCCTGTTTGTTCTCAGACTTGCCTTTTTCCTTTTGCTTCCCCTTTCCCTTCCCTTTCTTGTCATTACCGTTTCCACTAGTAGGGGGTCCGACGTTGTCCGGACTGGCGCGAGGTTTCGAGTCCTCGTTCTCTGATGGTGGATTACTGACCCAGCACCCAGGCGGTCCCTTAGGCGGAGTACTGCGCTTAGAACTCTTGCCGCCATTATTCCTACCATTTTTGCTGCCATTGTCGCCATCCTTTTTGCCGCTCGGATCACCATGTACCGCCACATTATCAATACTAGCATTGCCTCCAGCCGGTTCGGAAGAATTGCCATTGCTATTATCTTCGGCCGGTTTGGATGGATCTGTGCCCCCTGTAGTGGTTTCTTGCGCATCATTCCCACCCCATGAATTATCACCAGCAGTAGCGTCATTGTTGCCGTCCCCCCAGCTGGTAACACCTCCCCAGTCTCCACCATTGTTATCACCAAAATTTCCGTTACTGGTTTGGTTACCGTCATTTTGGGGTGCAGGACTGAAGCGTTCCGAGTTGGTCTTATATAATTGTTCTGCCTTTGCAATCACATCATCAAAGAACCCGCCTCCTCCAGACTGCCCAGCCTTGTTAGTATCCTTGCTATCATTATTTCCCCCCTCTTTGGATTCCGAGGCCTTTTGCGAGCCATGATCACTCTGAATGCCCCATGACTTGCCCTTAGCCCCTTCGTTCCCCTGAGGTTTCTCGGGGTCGGTAATCTCGATACTCGGGATGACATTCGATTTTCCGCCGCGATCACTTCTTGGATTTGTTTCTACCTGCTTCATAGGCTTCTTGGTAGGTGTACTGTGTTGTTCAGACCAATCTTCGTTGTTCTTTCGGCCGGGGTCTGGTGTAAAATTAGAGCCTTTGGCTTCCTGGGCTTGTTCAGGAGGCTTACCAATCGTCACGCTACCATATCCTTGGAACCAGGAATTATCTGCAGGCGCTCTCCGAGTCGCGGCTGGAGGATGTTGGGAAGGCTCTTGCTGGGGGAGATAAGGTGGTGGTTGTGGTGGTGGAGGTAGCGGAGGCTGTCCTCCAGGGAAGGACTGGAACCCAGCAGCTTGCCACGGATTATGTACTGGGTATGACACGTTGACGGTTGGGTTCTGGTTTACATATGGTGCGTTGGGGTAGAGTTGTCCATATGCGTTACCGTAATGCGGTCCATGATATACTCGCATGATTCCGTGTACCCCATCAAAGAAAGCATTTGGTCGAGGATCATTGGGTAATTCGACAGCGTGCTCAACCTGCAACATACGAGCATGAGATGGCATAAGGAAGTTTACTTGCTGGGGTGCATATGGAGGATTCTGGGGTGGATATTGATTCGTTTCTGCTCGCTTCTTTTTGATTGCGTCGGCCTCCTGAAGAATCTTATCCTCATCTAAGCTGTCTTGCTTAGATGCTCCTTTCTCCTTTGTACCCTGCTTACGACCATCCTTTTGCTGGTCTTGTTTTTCATTCTTGTCCTCGCTGTCCGACCTTCCTTCCTTGGTATTCTGGTTGTCTTGTTTATTCTTTTTCTTATTCTGTTTTCCCTGCTTCGTTTTCTTGCTTTGGCTATTCCGCTTCTTCTGCTTGTCCTTATTCTTCCCTCTTCCCTTGTGAGGCTCTTTCTCAGACTCGGACTCGCTTTCGGACTCGCTTTCACCTCCAGTTTCTTCGCCAGTCCCAGCGTCGGTATCAGTCTCAGTTTCCGTTGTCTCCACTTCACTATCAGACTTCTTACTGACATGTTTGGACTTTTGTTTAGGTCTTCGTTTGCTATTTACTCCTTTGGAATTTAGTGCTTCTGCTTCCTTAGCCTTCTTCGCCTTGTGTCTGGCGTGTACAGCAGCTGCGTTGTTGCTTCCATCCGCGGTCGAGACGTTTTGTTGCTTCTTGCTTTTTCCTTTAGTCTGATTTGTCTTCTTCAATCTCCTCCGCGCTGCAATGCAGTTCGTACAGGGACAATCTAGGATTATATCTTCGTCTGTAGCCGCTTCATCATCGCTGCTATTAACTTCAACCGCTGTACTGCTAGCATCTGTGTCCACGTCAGGCGAGGACTGGAAACGTGGTTCCTTGGCTTCAACCTGATGGGCGTTGTCTGTGAATCGAACTTTCTTTCCACGGGGCAGTCTGGTTCGTCCCGTTCTAGGATATGTAAGCTTCAAAATGTCGGATTCGTATTCATCGTCAGTCTCGAGTTGGAGTGCAAGAACTGGACGAGGTTTCTTAGGCGTCGAACTATGAGGTGCGTTTTGGCCAGCCACCCACTCATAAAATGAATTGGGTGGCATATTACCAAGTCGACTTGAACTATCCGACTAGACCTATCAAATCCTAGATTGTGTCGAGGTACTCCTTAATATGGTAATAAAGGAGAGGACTCAGAGGCGGTATCGAGCGCCGGATAGGTATAAATAATCACACGATAAATATTCAATTTCGTAGTAAATTATGAAAAAGAAGGATAGCATTAACCTAGGGTTGACAGGATTGACAGGATTGACAGGACCGACAGGGTTGGGCGTAAGAATCAGAAAACTTCCAAAGTTGAGTCAGGAGGTTGTTGTCGAATATGATCAAAACTGTGTGACGGGGTTGGATTTGCTTATCAATGGACAAATATAATAATTATCTAACCTAGAAACTGAAGTGGGATTTTGGAAATTAGCTACATTATCTGGGTAAGTAATAAGGTAGGTACGTAGACTGCCTAAGATAAAAAGGGAATTGCGAATGACTTGAACAAGTGCCTGTTTCCCTGCTGGTGAATGAAGAGTGTTTCCTTACGTCACGTCACCCTTTCCATTCTCCATTCGATTATCCATGGCAACCACAACACATAAGCATTATATATACCCGATAAGATGTTGCATGCAATATTACATGCAATGTGTATAAACGCAACACCTGTAGTATTCCAGTAAAGTAATCAAACTCGCATATACTTAAGAAATTACCATGTGAGACTCATAATTATAACTTTGACTTCTCATCCAACTCCATCTCTTTCCACTTCTTGTTGGCGCGAATATTTTGCCAGTACACCCACGTGCCTGCAGCAACGCCAACCGGAGGAACGAGGAGGCATATCCAATTCCACCACGGAGGACTGCTTTTTCTGATCTCTGCGAGCGCGGCATCTATATTAACTTTTAGCTCTTCCTTCGAACCGTCGTTCCATATAACTACCCCCTTCCCCTTTCCTCTTGCCTCACATCTCTTCGCTTTCAACCTCACGTCCGTCTGGCTTAGAACGCGGTTCTGCGCATCTTCTCGGCTCAGATGCCGGTCACGTTGTCTAAGTCTTTTCATCTGCACCTCGGGGTCTCTGACAGCTACTACCATCACCACGCCGGATAGCCTATCCCAGCCGCTTTCAAAGAGTAGTGGCACGTCCAAGACGACGGCCCAATGACCCTTCACGTAATTCCGAAAGATGGACCTGTACACCTCCTTTCTTACAGCTGGGTGCACAATGTGGTTTAGAACATCTCGGTCTTTCTTGCGCTCTTCGCTGTTACCGAAGACACGTCTGCCCAGCGCCGGTCTGTTCAGTGGTCTGCCTTTGCCGTCTGGGCCATCGGCAGGCATAGACTCGGAGACAGGAATTAGCAAGTCCGGCGTTGTAGGGCCGAAGTGCTTCACGATGGATTTATAGCCACTTGTTCCAGGTTCTACAACTTTGCGCGCCAGTATATCTGCATCGATGATTGGCAGTGAGTGAGGCGGCGAGGAAAGGATGGAAGACACGGTTGATTTGCCAGTGGCAATCGAACCTGTCAATCCAATGAAGAGCATAGTGATGACGATTAATTAGTAGTTAATGGTTCTGGCGTGGATTATCTTGTATGTAGTTGGTTAGTCAATCAAAAACATATGTAGGTCCGTAGGAACTGCATCGATAGAAGTTGTCTCGATATAGTTGGACTAAGGGGGGGTCACCCCTCCTGTCCTCCTGATAGATGAGCCGATGAGCCGCATACTTCTTGTCTCATCTAGGCTAAGCGTGCCTTATCTAATCTACGCTAGTGTTTGATCACTCGGTTGCTTGTTTGGGGACTTGGAGAGTACCTCATTGGAGTATCGAAGGTGTTCTATTAAAGGATGCATGCAGGTTTCGTACGCTACAGATAGACGATCTAAACTTTGGTATAGATCTTAGTAAATCCTATTTAGCCTAACCTTATTATTATGTATTCTCTTTAAACTAGTAGTTATACTTGTACCATACCTATGTTACATAGGTACCTTACATGTATATTCAAACTTGCTGCTGACTCGAACATGCAGCAACCCGTTTCGATAAAAGGTTGCGTTTCCAAGTTACCTAACCTAGGTACATGTATGAAACTGTTCGAGGTATGTAAGTGCATTACATGTAAGCAGGCTGTGATGCAGGTAGGTACATAGCGGCCCCGCTAGATATGCGGGGGAGGGGTAACTTCTCAGGTGAGGGGCATTTTTACAGCCAGAAAATTTTGGAAGATGGAAGTTACAACATGTACACACATAATTGTCACTTCCCTTAAAACCCAGGGCCGGGTTAGGTTATAATCTTTATAATCCTTATAATCAACAATTGCTCTCATCTTGACAAATTATACACTTTTCAGCCATGGGGATCGAATACCCTCTCCGTGTTCTTCTCATTGGCAATGGTGGGAGAGAACACGCAATTGCGTGGAAGCTCAGCCAGTCGCCTCTAGTAGAATCAATTATAGCTGTTCCAGGAAACGGAGGCACAGCGACATGTCCCAAAGTCACCAATAACACTTCGGTGTCAGCCGAAGACTTCCCAGCTTTACTCGAACTCGCAAAAGCAAATAACCTCAATTACGTGATCCCTGGTCCTGAGGCCCCTCTTGTCGCAGGAGCTGTCGACTTCTTCGAAAATGCGGGTATTAAGAGCTTCGGCCCCTCAAAGAAGGCTGCACAGATGGAGGGCAGTAAGACCTTCTCTAAAGACTTCATGAAGAAGCACAATATACCAACAGCCGCATACGAAAACTTCTCCGACTACGATAAGGCACGGGAATACCTCGACCGCGTGCAACACGACGTAGTAATCAAGGCAAGCGGACTGGCTGCTGGAAAGGGTGTCATCATACCCACGTCGAAGGAGGAGGCGCAACAAGCCCTTAAGGATATTATGCAGAACAAGGAATTCGGGTCTGCGGGAGATGAAGTCGTCATTGAAGAATTTTTGACTGGTGACGAGCTAAGCATCCTGACTTTCAGCGATGGCTACACGATAAAATCTCTACCGCCTGCGCAAGACCACAAGAGAATAGGGGAGGGAGACACAGGCTTGAACACGGGCGGTATGGGATGCTATGCGCCGACTAATATTGCTACACCGGACCTTGTGGCGCAAATCGATCGTGATATTATCCAGCCAACTATCGATGGCATGCGAAAGGATGAGATGCCTTTTGTTGGTATCCTTTTCACCGGGCTCATGATCACTTCGGCTGGCCCCAAGGTTCTTGAGTACAACGTCCGATTTGGTGACCCAGAGACTCAGACTGTTCTGCCTTTATTATCGCAAGACACAGATCTGGCTAAGATCATGGTGGCCTGTTCAGAGCGCTATCTGGATAGCGTTCTGATTAACATCGAGCCCAGATTCAGCGCAACCGTCGTCGTTGCTGCTGGTGGATATCCCGAGTCCTACGCCAAGGGCGACGAGATAACCGTCCAGACCCCTCCCGAAGACATCAACATCTTCCACGCTGGCACAAAACTAGCAAATGACAAGTTGCAAACAGCGGGCGGCCGAGTAATAGCTGCTAGCGCTACTGCCGCAGAGAGTCTCCGGGCCGCGGTAGACAAGGCATATGAAGGAGTCAAGCTCATTCAGTTCAACAAAATGTACTATCGGAGAGACATTGCCCACCGTGCCTTCAAGCCGACGACTGATACTAAAGAAGCCCTGACATACGCAGAGGCAGGCGTTAGCATCGACGCCGGAAACCAGCTCGTCGAGCGGATACGAACCGCCGTCCGATCAACTAGGCGTGCCGGCGCCGACGCCGAAATCGGTGGCTTCGGAGGTGAAGTTGACTTGTCCAAAGCTGGTTTTTCGAGCGATGCGCCTATCATGGTTGGCGCCATCGACGGCGTCGGCACTAAACTCATGATCGCGCAAGCGACTAAGAACCACAGCACCGTAGGAATCGACCTGGTTGCTATGAACGTCAACGACCTCGTCGTTCAGGGCGCTGAACCCGTCATGTTCCTCGACTACTTCGGCTGTAGCCGCCTCGATCCCGAGGTCGCCGCCGTATTCGTCGAGAGCGTCGCTGCTGGGTGCCGTGATGCCGGATGTGCTCTAGTCGGTGGCGAGACCGCCGAAATGCCGGGTATGTACAAGGAGGATGACTACGATGCTGCTGGTGCTGCCATTGGCGTCATGCGCGCAAGCAGCCGGCTTCCGCGTCTCGACGCCATGGGCGACGGCGACGTACTTCTAGGTCTTGCTTCATCCGGTGTTCACTCCAACGGATTTTCCCTCGTCCGCCGCATCCTCGCGCGCGAGAAGCTAGACTACGCAAGCCCCGCCCCCTGGGATACTTCTGCCAAAAATGTAGGCGAGGCCCTCCTAACACCAACCCGCATCTACGTCCGCTCCGTCCTGGCCTCGCTATCACAGCTCAAGGGTCTTGCACACATCACCGGAGGCGGGCTCACCGAAAACGTACCACGTATGCTCCCCCCCCGTCTCGCTGCCGAGATCGACGTAAGCACATGGCAACTCCCTCCCGTATTCCGCTGGTTACGTGCTGCGGGTAATGTTGCGCCTACGGAAATGGCGCGGACGTTTAATACTGGCGTGGGTATGGTTGCTGTCGTTAGCCCCGGCGATGCGGAGGCTGTTGCGCAGAAATTCCGGGAGAACGGAGAGACAGTGTATACTATCGGCAAGTTAACGACTAGAGCGGAGGGGGCTCCGGGTTGTGTGCTGAAGAATCTGGATTCCTGGAGTTAGGTTAGGCCGGGGCAATTAAAAAAGAAAGAAAAAAGGGGGTAGGGTCTGGCTCGAGGAGGCTGAGCTGATAGGATACGGTCGGTAGGAAGGGAGGCAGGGATTTATACTAAAATTCGCGAATGTCTTTGATTCAGTTGTATCTCGCCGATTGACTGGACTTCATACATACCCATATAAAAGACATACAGCCTAGCCCTGTAGCTAGCTACTTGATATACCACGCCGGTGACAACAAAACCAATAAGACGATATATATATGTATATGTATATTTGTGTATATGTATAAAAGAATATGATATGATATGGTGATATGATATACTCATGCTCGTGTCAGTCGGTCGGTCATATGAACCATGGTGACAATAATAACAACGATGATAAATAAATAAAATCCACATCGGCGCCTCAACCCAGTCGTAGTGCGACATTAGAACAAGGAAAAAAAAAAACCCTCGAATAATGCGATCCAAGTAAACAAGTAAGCGCCAACAAAGCTCCAATCTAGTCCAACTGGATAAACAATAAAGCAATTCGATCTATGCTGCTAATCAACACAACGTAGGCTGCGCGAAGGCCTACACTTACATATGAATACACCTCTATATCTCGTCGTTGACCCACTCCTCGCACACGACGGCGCCGGTGGCGTCTTTTGCGCATTTCTCCCACTCCTTGCACATACCGACCCAATTCCGCTCGACGCAGTGGGATGTCGTGGGTTCCGGCTTGGGGGCGGCGGATGTAGGGGTTGGTGTTGGCGGGGGGGAGGTAATTACGTGGGCCGGGGAGGTAGTGGTGGTGGTACTGACGGTTGCAGGCGTCTTGTCATTACAGCCCCACCAGCCCGGTGATGTGCAGGTGGTAGACGAGGTTGTGGTGACAGAGGTAGAGGTAGACGTAGTACTCGTGGTGGTGGTAGTAGTTTCGTCATTGCAGCCGAACCATCCTGGGGTCTTACAGGTCGAAGTCGAGCTGCTTGAAGTGGTAGTGCTAGGAGTTCCCGTCGTTGTAGTTTCGTCAAGACAGCCCCACCTATGAGTTGTTAGTTATGCTAATCTTAGAAAAGGGGAATTGAATGGGCTTACCATCCGGGCGTCTGGCAGGTAGCCGTTCGAGTGCGCGTCTTAGTCGTGGTGGAGCTACTCGAGGTTGTTGTCCCATCCGTACTGTTGCTCTCGTACATTTTCCAGTTCGCGCAGTCTCTGCAGTCTGGGGTAAACTTGCACTTCGGAACGTCATCGTACTTTCGAATGACATCGTTGATCACAGATCGTATCTTGTGAGTTCCGATACCTACTCGCCAGCCATGGTCGGCAACCGTGTCGTAAGTGCACTCGTAGCCGGTATGACATGCCGACTCCATGGCGTATCCTGCAAAAGAACACGAGGCGGTTGCGCCATTGCATGTTCCTATGTAAATAGGGTCGGCCGTATGTCCAAAGTGGTACGTTCCGGTGTACTGCCGCGTCTGAGGAAAGTTGGGGTCTGCGTGTGGTGGAACAGGAAGACCCAATCTTCCGGCTGCCAACGCCTCGGGGACGGCCTCAAAGGTCACAACAGGAAGTCCGTATGTCAAACCAAGTAGAGAGCTAACTGCTCCACCCAGTGAATGTCCAGAAACCCAGACATCTGATTCCGGATAAATTTCCGTAACATTTGCGTACAACTCTCTTACTGCCTGATAGTATCGATTTTCATCACGTAGAGCGGTCTTCACACACGTGTTGTTACAGGTGTAGGTGCTAGTTGCACAGTCGCAGACTTGGTGCCATGACCATTGGCCTTGCTGGGCACAGCAGCAGCTGAAGAAGAGGTTATCGTTGATCTTGTCATTGGTAGTCGTACCCTCTCCATCAAACACGGCCGGTGACGTTCCCTTGAGACCAATGATGATGGTGGAATTATTTTCGTCGGCCCAGATATGCCCCCTGAGTCCATCGGTCTCCCAGCCGAAATCAGCACTCCTATTGAACGGCTCTCCAACTTCTTCCCAGTCCGGCATACCGGGTTTCTCCACATATGCATCGGACGCGACCAACGCCATGGTCAAGACGGTTTCTTTATCGGTGACATCGGGGCCCAAGACGTCGTCGACAGCCCATGCAGATGGGCTGCTCGCGATGACATAACCGCGTTGGCGGGCCTCGGCAACCAACGGATCTATAGTGCTCGGCCGTCGATCAACCAGACGCTCAATCTTCCGAGGTTGACTCTTTGCCTTCAAAGGCATTATTCGCTCCGCAGCATGTCCATCTTCGCCGGCCAACCATACCTCAGCCTCTGGCTCAAGAATGTCTTTCCTTCGGTGAAGCCCAGGGTGGCGGTACGTCCCGTGGTGGTATATGTGACGTAGTGTAAAGGTATGCTCGGCCGGTTGCGGCGGTTCTGGTATTAAAGGTGTGAGTAACGGCGTGTCTGGGAATGTCGCCTCTTGGTTTTGGAGGCTAGCAGCCGCCGGAGAGGCGGATATTGCGAGGAACGACAAGAGCAGTTGAGCTGTCACTCTGCCGGCGGAGTGACATGTTGAACCCTGGCGTTTCCGCCTCGAACCCATGGCTGCTGCTTTTATACCGGATTTAGGGCGACAGGAGAAATGAATGTGTAAGTTTTGTAAGGTTATTGATGGGTAGATTAGATAACAGGTAGATGAAAAGAAAAAAAAAATAAAAGAAGTCTCGATAGGAGGTGAGTATTAAAACGTTGAATGATGGGATAAAGGTAAGGTAGGCGTATGTCCAGTGATCACGGCACCTGGAGTCCCCACACGAACCTGGGGCTGTTATCGCGTGGACAGTAGTGCTGCCTATCGGGTTATCTCCCTATGACAACATTGGTCCAGCCTGACAGCTTACTAGGTAGCAGGTAGGCTGCTGGCCATGAAAGTTCCGACCACCGAGCCTTACCCTTAGGTAACCTTACCATTTAGGTTGGCCATGTCCTTGGTAAGTACCTATGTACCCAGTCCTTGATTAAGAGTACGAGGTAACTAAGACATTCAGACATTAGGTCATTCTAGCAACATGCTCAGATCTGTCAGTGTTTTCAAGATTTTTATACATAGCTAGCATAAAAATGACCTGTTCCAAACCCGAGATTTCACATAGGTGTCATCTACTATTATCGTCTGTTTTGCTGATCTACCTCGCAGGCTGCACACATATGTATAGGTATGTAGACATATATCCTACCGTATCTCCATCAGGTGCTTGCATGAACATTGGTCCTATGTACATAAGCTGGTACCTACATGCGAGGCTTACAAGGATAAGTTGGTAGCTCCCTATCATGTGTTAATTGGGAACGGTAAGAAGGACCATGTCCAAAGTGAGATGCCCGAAATCAATAAGAAACATAACAGGCTGATATAGTCCAAAGCGGCATTCAAAACTCTAAGACATAAACAAATGACATGTTTAAGGTGGGTATATTATATATGTAGGTAGGTACGTAGAATATATTTGTTAGGTAGGTAGTGACCTACATGTAATATAGAAGTATTTAGGTTTGAATTCTACCCCTGAGGCAAGGCTAAGCTATATACCTAGGTACATATGTGCTTACCTAAGTCCATTATTAGCCCGTTATCATTTATCATGTATCGATGTGGAGCTTAGCTTCCATTATCATCTTACACTTAGCTAAGGTGCTACAAATACCTACCTATCTAAGTACAGTATCTATCTAAGTGCAGTACATGTATCTAAGTGGGTAACCTAGTAACTTGTACATGCAGATGCAGATCCAGAGAGCTTCCCGGAATAGCAAACTCCCTCTTACAACAATCTGCACACCTGCACACCTACACAACTGCTAAACATAACACATTCGCTCTCGTCTCTCATAATCTTTGCTATTCCTCATTGTATCTGGCCTTGATGCACACTCTATCCATGTTTTGCCCTGCTTAGCCTTAATGGCTCTCCTTTTATCTGCCATAATCTGATAGAGATAATAATACCACATATATTGTCGTCTTGGTATACCCTATACCCTGAGCCAGCTCGTATCTTCCGTGTCCATAGTGGAGAGGTATGATGTCCCTGCAACATGTTTCATACCTTTGTTAAATACTTCATGCTCTTCCGCATTGCTCTATTACATAGTAGCTCTTTAACTAATAACATTACATCCAGCTTCTCACACTTCTTCATGGCGCCTACTACCCCTTCCAAAGGCTCCGAGCCAAAACCCGGATCGCTTGCCACCTCGAGCACTTTCCCCCGTCACTCTCCTTCGCAAACGAAAGATCCTCGACCCACCCCCCAACGCGCAAATACCACAGAGAATGGTGCTATCCCGCCTGTTACAATTACCCAGGAAACTCCACCACAAAGGCAGAAAGAGAAGATGGATACATTTGAGTCGGAGACTATTGATGATGTAGTTGAAGCACCCCGCGCTTCGGTGGATATGGACGATATACCAATTGAGCTGATTAGCAAGGCGGACAAGTTGAGTTCAGACGAATCTTGGCCTGGCCTGGACACGACTAATACGTTTACCTCAGCTTCATCGACTCGCTTTCCGCTAAGGTTCACCCCTCACCACCGAATATCGATCATCTGTCTAGGCTATTTCAAGATTTTTATCACGTTGCTGCTTCACATATCCGAACCCATATAGACAGCCTTGCTACCCGACAAATGCGAGAAACTTCGCCAACTCCGTCGAGTTATTCTAAAAGCTCACCAGCCAGCTTACTAAGAGCCAAAGCGGCTTCCTTTACTAACAAGGAGAAAGCTAAAGAAACACTAGTCAAGGGAGAGCAACAAATGCTCACGGCTGAGGAGTTTGCTGATAGAAAGCGAGCTAAGAAGGCACTGGAGCAGAAGAGGGTCCTACTGGAGGAGGCGGTTGAAAGACGGCTTTGCGAAGGGATTTATGACCGCATATATCGGCATCGGACTACCCAAGATGAGGCGCAGGACGACAAGCTTAGATCCAAGACGGCCGCATTGGCTCTTGTTGGCATTGGCCCTGCAGATTTAGGCGTCGACCTCGGAGAAGTTTCCGAGGACACTCCTGAAGCCCGCATGAAGAAGCAAGAACAGATTCGAGAATACTTAGACCAGGCCCGGAAAGATCTGATGTTGATGCATGAGAAGAGGTACCCCCTGGGCAAGCTTAATCATCTCAAGGCTGCTCATAAGAGCATCGTTGACACGTTGTCTCACTTTCATCCTTCTTCGTCAGCTGACGAGATTATGCCGATGCTCATCTATACGCTGATAACTATGCCGCCTGAGAAACTCGCTGTAATTAGCGATTCCAATTTCATACAGAGATTTCGATGGGAAGAAAAGCTGGAGGGAGAAGCCGCATATTGCTTAACAAATCTCGAGGCCGCAATCACTTTCTTACAGACAGTAGATCTTGCCAGTCTTAGAGCGGACGAGGCGTCGTCGGGCCCCTTAAAATCAGAGAGCCGGCCTGAGATGCAAAGGACGGAGACCTTCCCACCTGCTTACACGGCAGGCTTATCCGCGACAATATCAAGTACGGTTGCTGCAACTCATGACAATACCAAGAGTGCAAAACCTTCACCGTCATCCGACAGCTTGCGGGCTGCTATCCAACGCCGCAGGTTGAGCGACCTTATTCAAAGTCCAGCCCAGGCTTTTGGGAATGCAAGCGATTCGCTGTTTAGCACAGCCGACCAAGGTTTCAAGAACATCGGAACTAGTCTAGGCGATAGCTATAAGTTCTTACTTGGTAAACTTCGAGACAGTTCCGCTAGCGGACGGGAACTAGTTGTCCCACGAACCCTAGACGAGGCGCGGAAGCTCATAGGCACCCCGCCTCCAGAAGATGATACTTCGGTTGATGGGAATTCGGCACATGGACCCGAGGATCCCGAGCGGCCAACGCCTGGAAAGGATGATAAATTATTATCCCTTGTTGGTGGTAAAAGGCCGGTAAGGGATCGAAGTACAGACAGTACAAGGAGTGCTCAGAGTACAAGCAGCTCTAAAAAGGTACTGTTCGCGGAGGATAATAAGGAGAGAACTCCTACTCCAACCGCCACGTCGTCGCCTGCATCATCTAACCCGGCCTTGGTCGAATCAATGCGGAATCTGGGCAATTCTCTGAATCCCATGAACCGCTTCTCGGGAATAAGCATGATGCGTGGGTTTGGACGCGCGGCGACGATTCCTGTGACACCTACGAAGGATGGTACTGCTAAGACGACAGACGGAGGAGACTTAGCTACGGTGAGAATCTTAGGAATATTTACACCGAGTATATTATACTGACATATTCGCCTAGGCATTTCCAGATATCGCCACGGCGCTACCGCCGAAAGATATCCCAAAAATAGATCCGCCCAAGAAGAAATTTATGGAACTCCAGAACCCTACAGACCTAAGGATTGGCGATGTCTTAGAGCTACTGCGAGACTACCGCCGGTTGGCTGGTGCTCTTAAGGATATGGATGCTTTCAAGGAATAGGCGGTTGGTTCGTTCTTTATATATAACTAAACTTTACTACGATTGCTGGAAACATACGCACGTATCCTATCTATAGCGCATTTTGCATGGCTTTGGAGTTTTTTTTTTTTTTTTTTTTCGACGGAACGTCGCAACTAAGATGGAGGAGGGTTTTGATCTTATATAGAGGAAGGCAATGGGAGTTGGCCGGGTGAGAATCTAAGTGAGACGCTGATGGTAACTCACACACTTAACACCATACTCACGTTCACGTCTCAGCTACAAATCATCAGATAAAATGAAATCAAATAACAAACAGACAAACACTTTAAAAACCAAAAAAGGGATGATTATGTGCAACTATGCATTATCTTCGTATTGTATTGTATTGTATTGTATTGTATTAATCAAGGGGGATGGGGATATATAAACTATCAACAGGACCCTGACTTTCAACTTGACTTGGCTCGAACTCGAACTCGTAAAGCAAAGCAAAACGCCGACTTTCGAGAAACGGAAACACTTAGTTAGTAAGTAGTAGTGAAACGGGCTGGCTGGCTCACAGGCTCACAGCAAGACGAGGCCCCAAAACGCATGGCCAGCCCTAATGACAGTCCTTATTTTAGCGTACCGTAGTTCCCCCAGCGTAGGAGGCATCGAGATGACACGCAGTTGCACAATATACCACACACATCGCAGCCCGATCGATGCGGCTCCCTAAAAAGTAGCCTAACCTAATCTCTTTCTCTCTCTCTTTAAGCTCAGACCCCCTAGCATAGCATAGCATAGCATAGCACAGGTAGCTCATAGCCAGTCAGCTTTTTTCCTCCTCATATTTCCCCTCCATGCATACCTCACGTCTCCCCGTCTCTGTATTAACTTGCTTCCGTAGCGACATAGATAACCTAGCCTAGCCTAGCCTAGCCAGCCAGTGTCGCCCCTGCGAAGGTTCTCCTTTTAATCCGACCACGATTCCTCCTCCTCCTCCTCCGACCTCCCAGCGCATACAAGGGGGTAGTCCGCAACATGAAAAAAAAAAGTATAAATGCAGTCTAACGCAGCTGATTGGGTTCGAGCGCGGAGATTCCTTGCCCGCCTTACTTGTTATTAAATACGTACGTATGTCTGTACGTGTGTGTGTGTGTGTGTTTGTTTGTATGTAGTAGCCCTGGCACTCTTATAAGTCAGGCCACGCTCGACTTGCCCCAACTCGACTCGAGTTGACTTGGGAGATTTAGTGATACCCATTAGCCTTCTTCGTCGGACTAGCCCTGCCATTCGTAATATCCTGGAGCGGCGCCCCCGCCCCCGCCGCCGCAGCACCAGGAGCAGCACCACCGCTATTGCTATCGCGGCGCTCAGGTCCGGAAATCAGCTTCTCC